TGTGGCCAGAGTCTCAGTTCCATTGTAAAATCCACAATATACCCACATCTATGACCACTTCACAACAACTGAACTCTGCACCACTGTGCCACGGTGAAAATAATAGACCTTATGTTGTTATTGGAACAATATTTGACTCTAATGCTGTTTGCTTGGAGCACCGAGTGTCCTGTTGAGGTAAAGAACCCATTTTTTGTTTAAAATGAGGGGCTGGCAACTTATGTTCTTTACTAGAACTAGGCTGGTCAGCTAGCTAACAGGCTAAAAGAGCCAACAGCCTAAACAACTCCATCATTAATCTCACAATCCTGAATTAAAGTATTTTCAGTCTGATTAACCGTAAAACTGCAGTATAAAAGTCTAAAAATGTCACTTGAATGTCTCACACACTTCAAACGTTCGTGTTTCAGTCAGAAGTCGAAACCCAGGCTGAATCCCAAACGGCTCTGTACTCCCTAAATAGTGTTCTAGCTATGAAAGTTTAGAAATTCTAGCCTCTACAGCCAAACAGTGCATCATTTATCGAGTGTGGATGTGTCTGAGTCCCAAATGACTGTTTCTTAGCTGTATTTTGCTCTGTTGGGCTGCGGGAAATTCCTACGTAGTGCACTATGTAGGGAGCAGGAAGCCATTTGAGATTCAGCCCCAGTGTGAGAAGAGGGACACGGCTGGATTAGTGTTTAATAAGACTTGCGGTGGTAATTTGGTGACCAAAAAGTACTTATAAAGCAAAGGTTTTGACATTAAAGAGTGCTGTGATATTATATGTTCATTGTTATACAACAAAAAGTAAAAACATACATGGAATGACCGCAGTTTACAGCGATGGGCGACCAAACGTTCTCCTCATTCAGCAGTCCACTGTTGCCTGGCAACAATACCGTACTCTAAAGGACCTGCATTTCTTGGTGGAAGCCTTGTTTATGTTATTTATTGCTAATTATAATGTAAATTATTTTCTGAAAAATTGTGTTTATCATCGTATTTCATGTTGGCCGCCGTTGTATAAAAGCGATAAGCCACTTGAGGCTGTGCGTTAGCAATTTTATCACAGGGAAGGAAGTTTTACTCCGCTTCGTGTTGTGCCTAACAACACCCTTACCCGTGACAAAATCACAGTAACGCACAGCCTCAAGTGGCTTGTTGCTTTAATGTAGATTGAAAAATGACTAGATGTACTTTGTCATAATGGATAATATTCTTTCCAAAAACTATTGATAAAAGCACTTGAGATCTTTTCTCCAGAGGTGGGAAGATCTGATGAGCCCCACAGTGTAGTCTGCTTATTTACTCGCTATTGCCATGTCTCAAGTACGTTTGTGCTCTGATGTAGGCTAATGGTTGAAGTACAGTGTTAAATCATCCTACACTCTTAAAAAAGATGGCTCTTTAAGGGTGCTTTAATAAAGAAAATGGTTCTATATAGAACCATGAACACTCACAGAACCCTCTGCATGATTACAAGTTTTTTTTGCATTGTGATAAGGTTCTTCAGATTGACAGACAATGTGTTTTACATGGTTCTACATATAAAACCTTTCTGAAAAAGGTTCTATATAGTACCAAAAAGGATTCTTCTATTGTTTCAGGCTTGACATCATAACAACAGAAGAACCCTGTCTGGTGCTATATAGAACCCTGTTCACCCCCAAAAAGGTTCTATTTAGAACCATCTACAGCACATTCGCCATCAATCTGAAGACCTATTTAGTGATACAAAGAACCCTTTTATCATGCAAAGGGTTCTTAGAGTGTTCATCGTACTTTATAGAACCATTTTCTTTACTAAAGCATCCTTAAAGAACCATCTTTTTTAGGTTTGTAGCTAAACATGGCTAGCCTGTATGTTAAGTTACTGCAAATAAAGCAACAAGAAAACATTTGTATTAACATTTCAAAACGTGTTTTAGGTGTCTCCACTTATCATGATGAGCACTGTACTTCATTTTCATGCTTCAAGGACTCCCATTGGACGTCTCATGTCAACTTCGTTTTCACCTCTCTACTAAGTTGAATTCCTCTGTTGCTCAGCTTTCAAGGAATAAACCAAACATCAAGCAAACCTGTAGCTTTCAAGGAAAGAACCGAACACCAGGCAAACCTGTACTCTTTACTAGGGCTGTGGCTGTGCGCCCAGTAGGACAGTCCCTCCTAATGCTTTCCGCATGACTAAACTGTGTGCTCACTGGACACACCCAGCCCTCCAGGTATTCTCTTCTATTCTTGAGTCCTTATTTGCACTGAAAACATAGAAAGAAAAACTCAAAACATTCAGGTTTTTACCTTTCTGTACTTAAGCCGAGCTAACTGTGGGTGTTTGTTTGCCAACGTGGTGCAGCCCAGAAGAGTTCCTCAAATTACGAAAAGCATTATGTACACCGATCAGGCATAACATTATGACCATATGTGATATGCTGTTTAAATGCATTAGAATCAACCTTTTCTTTTTTATGGCCTTATTAGATTATGATTCTTTAAGAATTGATTCAGAATTCAATTTGATTTAAAAAATAGAAGAAAAAATAAAATGAATATCCAAATGCAACTGGAGGAACTACTTACATGGTAGTGGAATATGTACACCGATCAGGCATAACGTTATGACCGCCTCCTTGTTTCTACGCTCATTGTCCATTTTATCAGCTCCACTTACTATATAGGTGCACTTTGTAGTTCTACAGTTACAGACTGTAGTCCATCTGTTTCTCTGCATACTTTGTTAGCTTGTTAAGCGCACAGCCTGGCAATCTTAATAGACAAACGTTAGCAGTAGGATGGGTCGTACTGAAGAGCTCAGTGACTTTAAACTGGCACTGTCATGGGATGCCACCTCTGCCACAAACCAGTGAAATTTCCGTCCTGCTAGAGCTGCCCCAGACAACTGTAAGTGCTGTGATTGTGAAATGGAAGTGGTGCAGGAGCAACAGCAGCTCTACCACGAAGTGGTAGGCCATGCAAACTTGATGAATCATCAAGCCTGATGAATCATGCTTCTCTGTCTGGAAGCCTCATGAACAAATTTGGATTTGGTAGATGCCAAGAGAACACTACCAATCAGAATGCATAGTGCTAACAGTAGAGTTTGGTGGAGGAGGGATAATGAGCTGGGGCTGTTTTTCAGGTCCTTAGTTCCAGTGAAGGGTGATGTTAATGCTACAGCACACAAAGCCATTTTAGACAATTATATCCTTCCAACTTTGTGGCAACACTTTGGAGAAGAGAAGTCCATAAAGACATGGTTTAGCAAGTTTGGTGTGGAGGAACTCCAGTGGCCTGCACAGAGCCCTGACCTCAACCTCGACTCCACTAAATATCTTTGGGATGAACTGGAATGGCCTTCTCATACAACATCAATGCCTGACCTCACATATCGCTGTTGTCGGAAGAAAACCTTGTATCTTCATTTTTGACATAATTTGAAAATGTCTGTTGCCCTTTACATCATTTCATGATGAATGGACCAAAAGAAACGGCCCAAAATGACTTGGAAAAAAAGTCTGGTTCCATTGACTTACATTGAACGTAAAGCAGGTTTTCTCCTTTTCCCGTAAAGTTACTATTTTAGAGGTTTTCCTCCAACAATAGTAATATGTTAATTTGACTGAATGGGCACAGATTCCCACAGACACACTCCACAATGTCGCAGAAAGCCTTCCAAGAGGAGTGGAAGCTGTTATAGCTGCAAAGGGGAGGGGGGGTCAAGTCCATATTAAACCCCATGGTTTTGGAATGGGATGTCCAACAAGCTCATATGGGTGTGATGTATAATCCATCATGAAATTTGTGTATCGTAGTATCCCTAATCTACTGCTGGGTTGTGGTGTGGGAACCTGAGTGGTGTGGGAAACTGGGAAACTGAGTGTACAATTTAAGACATATAATGCATCCTTTCGCCTTTTTTGACCAGTACCTTACTGGTGAGTGTGTACTTCTGCATGATCTGCATGTTTTTAATATGGCAAAGAAAAACGGAGGATTTATTTATTTATTTATTTATTTAACAGCACCTGAACGGAGTAAAATCATATTTCCTAGTTAACTACACTGTTAGAAATAAAGGTTCTCTGCAGGTACATTTTCCGTTCATCAAGGTACAAACAGTGTAAATGTTCCCTCAAAGGTACAACAGTGGTTTTTTAAGGTCCAATTGTGAACTTTAAATAAGTTTTTCCAGGTGAAAAATTCATATTTGTACCTTTTAATAACTGAATGTTTTAAATCAGAACAGTAAAATAAAAGCCTGGAGACGAGACGGGGTGTGTGGAGTCAGTACAGCTTAGAACATATCATTTTAATGCTTTATGGTAGAGTTATGTTCCCTCACCAAAGGTACTGAGAATGACCCTTGAGGGAACCACCGCAGTGACAAGAGGGGCGCTGACCCAGAGACAGTTTAGTACCTTTATTTCTGAGAGTGTATCTGGTATATACAAACTTTCCACGAGTCCCCGACTGCAAACACTGCGAATTGAACTCACAACCAACAACTCACCTCCACGATAACTCGTAGTACATGTGTGTAGTTGTATACATTAACCTGTCTGCAGAATCAGGTTGCATAATAAATCCTAGTGATATAAACTGGTACATACGGGCACCATAATGTGGCTTCCTGATGCACTCAAAATAATATTGTCCTTTCCATCCTGTGCATAAAGTGTTACTTGCAGACAGCAACAACCAGCTTATCTGTTGGAGTTCGAGAAGCAACCTGTAAACACCACTGAGCTCAATCAGACTCAACTACACCCAAAAACGTACGAGTGAGCTTCACCTGAAAGGCCATTTAACTAGTCCAGGCGGTTTCTGGCAAAGGCTTAAGGGAGGCAGCAACAGTCACTGTATTTGTTTGAGTGATAGGTGTGTATATGTGGGTGAGGGTTAACGGGGGGGGGGAGTGCCACTTCCTGACTCAGAGACTCTGAAGCAGAACACTGCCGTAGTTGACCACAAATGCATAAAGGATTATGTAGATGGAGTATCGTGGTGTCTTCACTTACCCAGAGCTCCTTGGCAGATGTCGGTCCTGGTGGCTCCACCAACGATGAACTGGGGTTTCGAGCACAGCTCCTGCACAATACAGTAAACAGATGAGCTCCAGCTTCAACCTGGACACACCTTCCTCAATAATGCTGCCTCAGAAGCTGTCGAAGCCAATCTTGCACCACACTTTCAGGTTACTGAACCTACACTATTAAAAAAGTCTTCCAATGCTTCCGTGTGGAAACGGTGGAAGTCGGTCATGTTTTGTTCAGTAAAAACAAAACTTTTGGAAAGTGTGCATGGAAAACTGCCATTATTATGGCCTCCTGGGGGTAAAACCCCCCATTACATGAGGAAAATAACATTTATGTCTAGAAAATGAGATGCCTTACTTTGAATACGACTCGTCTTCACAACAAAACATTGCTATCAACTCTGTTCTCAGCTATAAAATTAGCACATTAGTCTGCAAAAAATATGATTTTTTTTAGGTTTTTGAATGACAGAACTACTGCAGACAGTTTGTATGAAAAAATGTTGGAAAATCTGCGGTAACTACTAAATTTATCTAAAGTTAAAGTGGAAAATAACATTTATGTCTAAAAATGAGACGCCTTAGTAGCTCGGAATATGAATCATCTTTACAACATAACGTTACTATCAACTCTGTTCTCAGCTATCAACCGAGCAAGTTAGACAAAAACATGATTTCTTTTAGGTTTTTAAAAGACAAATACTACATACACTTTAATCCACAGGTAATAAGACTGCAAAATCTGAGGTAACCACTTAATTTATCTGAAGTTAAAGTGGAAAACACCATTTATGTCTAAAAATTAGACGCCTCAGTAGCTTTGAATGTGACTCATCTTCACAACACAACATTTCTGTCAATGCTGTTCTAGTAACTAGTAAGTTAGTCTGACAAAAACATGATTTTAAAAGCTTTTAAAAGACAAATACTACACGCACTTTATTCCACAGGTAGTAAGACTGCAAAATCTGAGGTAACCGCTAAATTTATATGAAGCTAAAGTGGAAAATAACATTTATTGAGATGCCTTAGTAGCTTTGAATATAACACTTTTTGTCAGCTCTGTTCTCAGCTATCAAACTAGCACGTTAGTCTGAGTAAAAATATGATTTTAAAAGCTTTTAAAAGACAGAACTACTACACACACATTAGTATTCAAGTAAAAAGACTGCAAAATCTGAGGTAACCGCTAAATTTATCTTAAGTTAAAGTGGAAAATACCATTAATATCTAAAAATGAGACGCCTTAGTAGCTTTGAATGTGACTCATCTTCACAACACAACGTTCTTGTCAACTCTGTTCTCAGCTATCAAACTAGCACGTTAGTCTGACAAAAACATGATTTTAAAAGCTTTTAAAAGACAAATACTACACGCACTTTATCCCACAGGTAGTAAGACTGCAAAATCTGAGCTAACCACTAAATTTATCTGAAGTTAAAGTGTATAAAGTCACTCAGTTACTCAGTCCAGCCTGACTTCAGTCCAGCCTGAGCAGCACTCACTCCGGGTCTTTTCCACTGCACCCCCCTCGTCTTGAACGAGTTTGGTCCGAGCTCCTTAAAGCCCAGCGACTCGGGGGCGGCGGGGAAAAGGGGGTCACAGAACAGCTGGCCGCTGCTCAGATACTGGCTCCTCAGCGCCTCGTAGTCCTGGTTCATATACTTGATGGCCTTCGAGTTGGTCCCAAAGCCCGCGGCCCTGGCCCGCTTCTTCGCTAAAGTCAAAGCCACTCCCGACATTTTTCTGCTCCGGTTCGGTAAAGAAGACGCAGTGCGAGAGCTTCGACTTCCAGAACAGAGTTGAGTAACTTCAGTTCTCTCCGCCCCTCCGAGGAACTCTGACTCTCTCTCTGGTGGGGTGTGTTCGCCCTGTTATGGGTCTCAGATGCAGGAAGAAGAGGAAGAAACATGTCTGTGCGGTTGGGCGACACGATACGACATAATTATGCTGTTAAAACTGGCCGTGGTTCGTTTTCATCCCGCACGAATCTCTCAGCTGGAGGCTGCAGTCGAGTCTGGCTGGTTACCTTCCTACATTTTAGGGATATGAGATTAACAAGGCAGCCTTTCAGACCGAGCTGCTCCTTCGAAGGGGATGTTTTTGAGCAGGAAGGAACGCTAATGCTCATTTAGCTGCTAGAAAACAGTCTGAAAATGCGATTTTAAAACACAGAATTACTTACATGCTTTATTCAGTGGGTAAGGTCGCAAAATCTGAGGTAACCACTGCATTTATCTGAGGATGTTTCCTCAGTTCGGCCTGGCTTTAGCAGCACTTGATCAAAATAGTTAGCAGAGAAGCTTTTTCAGGCCACGAGCTACTAAACTGAAGCCAGGAATTAATATATTGTGGCCACAAATTAATATATGGACTCCATGAATTAACATATTGAGGCCACAAATGAATATATGGAGGCCAAGAGTTACTAAATTGAAGCCAGGAAATAATATATTGTGGCCACAAATTAATATATGGAGGCCATGAATTAACATATCAAGGCCATAAATTAATATATGGAGGCCAAGAGTTACTAAATTGAGGTCACAAATTAATATATGGAGGCCAAGAGTTACTAAATTGTGGCCACAAATTAATATATGGCGGCCAAGAGTTACTAAATTGAGGTCACAAATTAATATATGGAGGCCAAGAGTTACTAAATTGTGGCCACAAATTATATATGGCGCCAAGAGTTACTAAATGAGGCCACAAATTAATATATGGAGGCCAAGAGTTACTAAATTGAAGCCAGGAAATAATATATTGTGGCCACAAATTAATATACAGAGGCCAAAATTAATATATATGGGTTCCATGAATTAACATATGGAGGCCAAGAGTTACTATATTAAAGCCAGGAATTAATATATTGTGGCCACAAATTAATATATGGAGGCCATGAATTAACATATCAAGGCCATAAATTAATATATGGAGGCCAAGAGTTACTAAATTGTGGCCACAAATTAATATATGGCGGCCAAGAGTTACTAAATTGTGGCCACAAATTAATATATGGCGGCCAAGAGTTACTAAATTGAGGCCACAAATTAATATATGGAGGCCAAGAGTTACTAAATTGAAGCCAGGAAATAATATATTGTGGTCACAAATTAATATATGGAGGCCAAGATTTACTAAATTGAAGCCAGGAATTAATATATTGTGGCCACAAATTAATTTACAGAGGCCAAAATTAATATATATGGGTTCCATGAATTAACATATGGAGACCAAGAGTTACTATATTAAAGCCAGGAATTAATATATTGTGGCCACAAATTAATATACGGAGGCCAAGAGTTACTATATTGCCCTGAGTTACTATACTGTGGCCAAAAATGAATATATTGACGCTAAGTGTTAGTATATTGTGGCCATGAATCGATATATTGAGGCTATAAATGAATATATTGAAGCCACAAGTTAATACATTGAGACCATGTGACCATGAGAAACTCATGGCCTGAATATATTAATTTGTGGCCACGACTTATTTTAAAATCTCACCATGTCACATTAGGGGCTCTGTGCAAAGTGGGTGTTTTCGAGGTCTGAGGCGTTTCTGGAATGCTCGTGCGAAGAGTTGATGGATTCAAGAGCGGAGGTGATCAGTTTGACAACATTATCCCAGTTTACGCGAATCTGCCGTTGGCACTAAAACTCATTATTAACTCCCTAAAGCCCATATCTGACATTTTCCACTTGGTCTGTATGTCCTCTGATCGTTCCTGAGCACAAATCTGAAGAACTTCTTCAAATTGATCAAACCTTGTGACTTAAAAGTGACTTTTCCACTTGATTTAACATATTAAATGAAGTTTTCTGGTTACAGACTGCAGATAACAAACACGGTGATGACCCACATCCCCAATAGAAGAACCCAATAAACACATATCTTTAACTGTCAAACAGCGACGTAACATAAATAGCACCTTTTCCAGAGGGCGCGCCTCCCATTATCCTCCTGGAAGGGCCATCATCATGACCACGCCTCACCAGCTTCTAGAGGCCAGTGCCAGTCAGTAGTACGTTACTACAGTATGAATTACATGTGTTTTTTTTTTATTTTTATTTTTTTTACTGAAAACTTGCAGCTGGTCATTTGTAGATAAGATTAGTGACCACTGCTATAGGACATTTCATCACTTTAGACCAGGGGGTCCAAATCCCAGTCCTGGGGACTCCATGCTCTGCTGATTTTTGTATGTTTCCTACTCTAACACATGACAAGCTTGTAAGTTAATGAGTAGAATGAGGCGTGCTAGATAAGACAAAGAACAAAGAACAAAGAGTCCCCAGGACTGGAATTGAGAACCCCTGCTTTAGACCCTCAGGGTTAGCATCTTAGTGATTTTATCACAAGATAAATGCCACAGAACTTGGTTTGGGCTGAGTTTCCCAAAAGCATCTTAGCATCAAGATCTTCTGAACCGGTCGAAAGTTCAGTGTGATTCTCACTCTGTCTTTGTGCTTAGATGCTTTTGGGAAACCCAGCCCAGACCAAGTTCTGTGGTATTTATCTTAGCATACTACATTTGTAATCCTGGGACTGGGTCCATTCAGTTTGTTGGCAACACTTGAACTTCAACTGAACCATTCTTTTAAAGTGTTTACTGCAAGTTTGTGCAGTGCTAAAATATTAGCTTTGCCAGTCAGTGGGCATAGTGTTCAAAAAAGTACTTGATATGTTATCAGCTAGTTTACAGAACAAGGTTCCTTAAACACTTTTTGCCCATCAGCGTTACAGAGAACCCACATACATCTTTACTCTGGAGTACACTTATCTGAGCTGGTTTCCCAGGCCAGGATTTTCAGTGGTGAATCACCACTGACATCATATTGTAGTGCAACAGATTCAGCAGAAAGGCTAACTGAGAGACTTTTAATGGGTTAAATATGAGACACTCTTAAAAAGAGGGTTCTATAGTAAAGAAAATGGTTCTATATAGAACCAAGAACACTCAAATAAGCCTTTGCATGATTAAAGGGTTCCCTGCATCATGAAAGTGTTCTTCAGACTGATGGAGAATGTGCTGTAGAAGGTTCTATAGAGAACCTTTTTAAAAAGGGTTCTAAATAGCACCAAAACAGTTCTTCTATTGTAACAAGCCTGACATTGTAACATTTGTAGAACCCATCTGCAGCACATTCTCCATCAATCTGAAGAACCCTTCCATGATACAGTGAACCCTTTAATCATGCAAAGGGTTCTTTGCATATTCATGATTTTGTATAGAACCATTTTCTGTACTAAGCATGTACTTTTGATCTGATCTGATGTGATACTTCTCTGCAAGATGATATTTTAAATGTTGTAGTTTTTTACACGCTTGATAGATGGCGGTATTTACATTTAAATCAAATCACCAGTGACCATCTGCTGAAAGCATACATACATACATCATCTAAATCGCTTATCCTTCTGGGTCACTGGAGCCTATCCCAGCTGTCATTGGGCAGAAGGCAGGATACACCCTGGACAGGTCACCAGTCCATCGCAGGGCAGACATATACAATCAAACACACCTAGGGGCAATTTAGCATGTCCAATTGGCCTGACTGCATGTTTTTGGACTGTGGGAGGAAACCGGAGTACCCCCACGCAGACACGGGGAGAACATACAAACTCCACACAGAAAGGACCCTGGTCGCCCGGCTGGGAATCAAACCCAGGTCCTTCTTGCTGTGAGGGGACAGCGCCATCCACCGCGCCAGCGTGCCGCCCTGCTGAAAGCAGCCTTGTATTTAATATATAAGGAGACAAATGAAATGTATTTAAGCTCTACTTTGAAGCACATCTCAAACGCCGCTCGGTTGCAGGTACCTTCAACACAACAAAGACCTCAAACAAGGCATTGGCTTATGAGACAGAATGGCAGGGCTGCCAACTTACACTTACACTGGGGGTGGGTGGAAGACACTAACACTGATGCAGCTAAATGATAACAGCTGTCAGTATGCTGGCGATGCTGTGATGTACCACAGTGTGCAAAACACCCCCTGGAAATTTGGGGGTCCCATGTTGGCTGGCTACTCCAGCGTTCGCTGGCTACTAACTTCCTCACTGTAGCAGTGCTGATTCTTCAGTAGCAGCAAAAAGTTTGGATTATCAGTTCTTCTTCTGGAAATACTCTTTTCCAGTGTTCTGCGCTCTTCCTCACATTAACTGAGATCTTACTCATCTTCTCTTCTGTCTTTGGTTTGAGAAATGAGGACCAATTCACTGTTTCTACCAGTCTCTTGGGCAATTGGGATATTGGCATATTGTAATGTTTTTCAGAGGTTTCCTGGGCATAGTTACAGCCATAGATATTCATTCCTAGATGCCGCGTTGTCTGTTGTTCCCTGTCTGAGGTGATACGTCTGAGCGTCCGCCATGTTGGAGCGGTCAAGATCCGCTTGTGAACAAATTCACTTGTATTGAGAGACGATGAGTCTCAGGATTAAATCAGCCACAACTTCCTTATTACTCAACCGATTTTCACCACATTAGTTTAGTTATAATCCTCAGACACAGATTAATCTAGGCTGCTCTGCTCTCGGTAGCTTTTATTACTTTAATAACTGATCATGATAATTAGCCGTCCAGACCAGCAGGAAAGTATTCAGTCTGAACCTGACGTTAAAAACCGGGTTTAGCACTTTGGTAGAAACACATTCAGCAGATCCATCAATGTGTGAATCACTTCTAATCTTTATACACAGAAGGACGAAGCTAAAGTTGGCCTCGTATTCGCCAGCTTCTTGTTCGAGTTTTTCCGTTCCACCTTAAATGGCACATCAGTCACTGTCTGGTGCCTGAAGCTGCACTATTTAAGGTGGAACGGATTAAGGAATACTATAACTACAAGCTTTAACCATCACTGTAAATAAATAACTTCTACATAAAGATAAGACCGCCTGAATAGGCCATTAAAGGAAATAAGCTTAATATAAAACCAGAGGAAAAACAATCACATCAGCAGCTTCACCAACCACACGACCATATCTACATAAACACCACACAAACAATACTCATCACACAGACATGAGTGTGGATCACTGCGTTCCCTCCGTTATATAATCCTGTCCCACTTTCTGAGTGTAATATTCCTGAAATAGTGTAATTTTGGACAGAATCTTTCTTAAACTGCCACTCTGTAATGATACTGAATGCAGTCCAGCAGCGATGCTGTGCCGTTGACGTGCCTGGCTGGACCCAACACGACATCTAGGTATGTATATCTATGGTTACAGCTGTTGGGCTATGAATGACCAACTGGATGAACCAGTTTGCAACAGCGCCACCCTGAGGCCAGGCAGTGCTGCATCTCTAGTTAGTAAAGAACGCCAAAGACAGAGGCTCGCGGCTTTGTAAGGGACCTTTCCCTGAATTTGCATTTGAGCTATTCAGACATCTTGATATGGTTCTTTTTAGGGCCTCCCAGAATTTTGATTTTGAGACGTTCAGAGGGTCCAAGGGGTTAATTAAGAGTCCAGGATCCCTCAGGACCCCCTGCATTTCACATCTTGATGTATTGTCTCGAACATGATTCGGTTGCAGGTACCTTCATCACAAAGCTGCCTCTTACGGGAGACAGAATGGGCAGCAAGACAGCTGCCTTCAGTTTTTTCGGACACAGCCAATAACTGTTTATGTTTACGTCTATGTTCTGCTGCAAGTGTGCTAATATGAGCTAATGCTCAAGTAGCTTAGCCAATAAACCTGCGGGACAAACATGTAATTTATGTAAAACACCATATTTTGGTTATAAAAAGTTATTTCTTCTACCTTTCTTAAAAGTCATTTTAAGGGGTCGGGTTAAAAGATGTAAAATATGCTTAATGCTAACCCAGCTAAAGGCTAACTTCTAGCTGTCAAACGTGATTTGGTTGCAGGTTGCTTTATTACAAAGACACTGAGGCCTTCAGTTTTGAACAAAGCCTCATGCTGCTCAGTCCTTGGAGGCAGGGCTAAGGAATTACTCCCATATCCTGTGATACAGGGTCCCAAAAATGTCAGGCAAGATAATAACATTCAAAACGAAACATCAGAATAAAATTGTTTAATGGGTCTTAAAGTGAAATACATGACAATAACATTACATTGCATAAAGGTTAAAGGCCAGTTAGACTTTCTACCACCAATGAAAAGCACCTCTGTGCCCCCCCACACCATTTAAAAACACAACAAAACCATGCAGTTTTAATTAAACATAAACGGAGCGAGAAGGTAAAGTTGGCCAAAGTCAAATATGGTAAGATTTCATCAGAAACATCCGAACCTTCTAGAATAGCAGCTATGGCAGCACTTCTATTGTATCAAGCCTTCTCTAAACTAATGAGATTACATTTTTCTCCATAACTATTAGGCCCAATCCCATTTCACCCCTCAACCCTACCACTTAGCCCTTAGCCCTTTGTTTTGTGTGTTCACGTCTAGGAGTAGGGTGTCACAATTTTTGTTGAGATAGAGGGGTAGGGTTGAAGTGTTAGGACTACATGTCCTCCAAACGGAGGTTTTTCAGAGACTCCAAACAGAGTGTTATGAAGAAAAACATGGCAAGATGGCGGCACAAACGACCAAAGAAACCCACAAATGTGAGAATTTTCTCCGTTAAATAATTTCAAAAATCATTGTATTAGTCTTAGTTTAATGTTGTTTCAATGTATTATGGTCGTTTTCCTCATAACAGGCATAAAAAGTCGCTAATAGCATGCTAATGTCTCGGTAGCTAGCTAACTTTTCCGTCCCACCTTAAATAGTGCAGCAGTTCTGACGCGTGAAGCGCCAGAATGTAACTGTTGCTCCATTTAAGGTGGAACTGGAAAATTCAAACAAGAAGCTGGTGAATATCTGACTTCAGCTTCATATCACTGAAGAATTAGGGGTAGGTGATAATAAATAATTGCCCCCCTCTTTGAAGGCATATTATTCCCTAAATGTAACTAAAGCCCAGCAGTGAGGAGCTGAACTTTACCCTCCTCTGCTGTCACTGCGGACTGGCAGGGTCTCCTACAGAGCAGCGCTAGTAGCTGTTAATGAAGTGATGCTCTTTTTATTTGAGGGTCTCATTTCAGAGAGGAAGATTTCAACCACTACCCCTGTAACTCAGTTCCAAGGAGCAAGGAGACACTCGAAAACAAGGGGTAGGGGTAAAAAGAAGAAATGGGACTGGGCCTTAGACCTTCACCCTGAGAGACTTTACTTGGAAGCTTATACTTCCAGGACCACCTGAACCAAGTATAACAATAATCATAATAACAATATAATAATGGAAAAATCAGAATGTGGTTAAAGTATCACAATGCAGATTTTTCTAAACAAACTTGATACAAAATGTTGCACACATTCAAGAAGTTACTATAAAAAACCTGTTACAGTAAATGGAGCTTCATAGATTCTCAATTGCTTTGACACAAATACCAACACATCATTATTAGATTTGCATAACAATTTGCACCCCTGTAACAGCGGACTAATCTGCACAAAATCATAGCCAAACGGTGAGTGTGTTTACATGCACTTAATAATCGGATAACTGCAGAAAATCAGATTTTGTCAGGAATCCGATCAATTTGTTTACATGCAGTTGAGTAATCAGATAATAGGAAACCTCTAGGTTTACATGAGTCAGACAGTAATCCGATATCTGCTTTGCAACTGACCAAAAAACTCACAGAAGAAGACGTGACGTAAACGTAATGTAAAACTTCCCATAAAACTTCTTACTGCAGCTTTTTTTTTAAAACATTGCATCACTTTACCTGAAAATATGAACATACATCATTTAGAAGATGAAGAATATTTAAATCCTTCATTTTGTCAAGCATGTAGTTGGTTTCAGCATCACCTCAAAAGTATTTTGTTGCTTGCTTATTTCCAGTACCGCCATCTGTTTTTGCACATGTGTAGACTGAGAAATCCGAAAGAAATCAGAGTAAGAGTTCACATGCACTGAGAAATCTGATTACTGAGCTAAACTCTCTTTAAACTCTCAGCTCTCTTTATCAGATTTTTAGACCGTACTATGACATCAGAGTGTGCTGTTTACTTGACCATTTGAATAATCAGAAAACTGCAGAATCTGATTACGATCGGACTACTGAGTCCATGTAAACGCATTCATTGTAGCTAATATATTCTTAACTCGTACACAATATTAGTCATTCAAAATATGTGCACTTATCCTCGGGGTCTAACTTGAAACTACTGTAGGCACTCAGCGTAGAATAAATAATGGAATATCATAGTACATATTATAGCACATATGCAAAATCACAGCACTTTGGGGCTCGTTATGAAAATCTGAATGCGATACGTGTGTTTAAGCAATTGAGAAGTTTTAAGAATCGTGTCTAAACTTGTCCACTGTCTTCAGGAGGATGTCATTTAGACCATGGTTAAGCACAGCCACTGAAAAAAGACAAAACAGAGAGAAAGAGACAGAAAGAGAGAGAGAGAGAGGCTGTTTAAATGAACCACAGACAGATTTCCATTATTTTGAACTATGAAATGTATGAAAAGCTGTAACTAACCTGATTCAAGTCCATCTCTATGAAGTTGGTGTTGTGTGGGTCAAGCGTCTTAAACATTCCTGAATTTGTGAAGAGATGAGAGGAAATATCAATGACTGTTAAGTAGGGCTGGGCAATATTTAGTGCTATCATGATATTTGCCATCACATACACCGATCAGGCATAACATTCTGACCACCTCCTTGTGTCTACACTCACTGTCCATTTTATCAGCTCCACTTTCTATATAGGTGCACTTTGTAGTTCTACAGTTACAGACTGTTTTAAACACCTCAGTGTCACTGCTGGACTGAGAATAGTCCACCAACCAAAAATATCCAGCCAACAGTGTCCTGAGGGCAGCGTCCTGTGACCACTGATGAAGGACTAGAGGATGACCAACATAAACTGTGCAGCAGCAGATGAGCTATCGTCTCTGACTTTACACCTACAAGGTGGACTGACAAGGTAGGAGTGTCTAATAGAGTGGACAATGAGTGGACACAGTGTTTAAAAACTCCAGCAGCACTGCTGTGTCTGATCCACTCGCACCAGCACAACACACACTAACATACCACCACCACGTCAGTGTTACTGCAGTGCTGAGAATCATCCACCACCCAAATAGTACCTGCTCTGTGAGGGTCCATGGGGGACCATGGAAAGAAACAGATGGACCACAGTCTGTAACTGTAGAACTACAAAGTGCACCTATATAGTAAGTGGAGCTGATAAAATGGACAATGAGCGTAGAAACAAGGAGGGGTCATAATGTTATGCCTGACCGGTGTATGTTACAGTTCTCTTTTCTAAGCATATCGTGGATATTCGCACAGTGTGTGAGATAAAATTAAATATAAATAACTGGATTCACCTCTACTAATAATAGTCTGGGGTCGAAGGGCACTTTCTCGATTTTTGCATATCTTCTTAAATGCGCCTTTAAAGGCACTTGCATATCGTCGCTGTCCAAAGAAAGAAACGTATCTCCATTTTTGTAGATTTTAACTTTTCTACATCATTTGAGCTCAGCAGCCGCCCTTTACGTCGTGTGAAAACTTCATGATAAATGGACCAATAGAAATGCTTTAAAATTGCATGGAATGACATTTAGCTACATCGACTTACATTGAAAGTAAAGAGAGTTTTTGCCCTCTTCTGTAAAATGACCATTTTTGAGGCTCTTGCTTTTCTTTGAACAGTGACGATATAAGACGACAACCACGTTTCAGATCAGAATGCTCCATTATCTTTGTTGCTACTTTATAAAACTGCAACTAGAGTGGCTGCACCCCATTTCACATGTGTCTCCGATGTGGACTGAATGAAAAATAAAAGGTTTCCGGCGTGATGGTCAGTCCTTAGTGATTTTCTCAGTGTCTATTGGTCAGTTTCACACAGAATATAGACGGACACACTGTTCCACACGGTGAGAGGCAGATGACGTGTATCTCTAGCCCCTCTTCATAGGCTCATAACTCCGGATGTGGGTCACATTCGATCTCGTGATAAGATGGAATGGAAAGGGCGACTCTACAGATTCAGGAAACGTTTGAACCACATTTTTGTGCCATGTTATCGCAAAGATAGAGAAACATAAAAAATATTGAATTTGACGCACTGGGCGAGGTTCACGGACCCCAGAGAGTTAGGTGAGTTTTTCCGAACAGTATGTATCTTGGAGACAAACTGAGTCTCAAACCCTTCACAAGTCAGTGATCCTAATGCCTCTTATTATTGTATCTACTGAGAGGTGCTGAACGGAATCCCACTCACGGAACATCATCTCCAGACGCATGAGGCAGGCCACGAAGTCATCAAAGTCAATGGTGAGGTTTGAATCAGCATAGCGGGCCACGAGCAGCTGGAAGATGGCATCATTCAGGGAGAATCCTGTAAGCAAAGAAAAGAGAGAGGGGAAAAGTATGTGGACACATACAAATGGCCATCACACCCTTATAAGCTTGTTGGACATCCCATTCCAAAACCATGGACCTCACTTAGAGCACAAGGAAAGGATCGTCCCCAAACTGTTACCACAACAGCTGTAAGCTGGCTTCAGATGGGCAGACAATGTCATAGTCTATGGGACAGAATCTGACTTTTAACATCCCCAGTTACATCTTTTAACCACAGCTGCTGCTTCAAATTCAAACACTGGTTAACTGATGATAAGCCGAAGGCCTGAAGCAATGGTGGATAGCTGTGCAGTGATTGGAGGGCTGAGAAAGGCGGAGCTTGGCAGAGAGCAAAATGGTTTGATTGTTCATAACACAGTGACGCCACTCACAGAAATCAAATTAAATTCTTAAAAATTCAGCTTAATATATTTGTTTCCTTGGTTGATTGTCTAGGCCAGTGATCACTCTGTGTAGGGCCGAGGCCCACCCAAGCTACCCTGCTGTGTATGTGTACTCCTGTGCCCTACGCGCGTTGTTGTCCTTCCTTTCTTGCTTGTTCTGGCTGATTCAGCATCATGTGAGCAGTAAAAAGTTGTGCTGAGTGTGTGGACGATGGTCATGTGACTAATTTGGGCCAATGCTTTACTTACCTGCTTCCTTCAGTGTCAGACGCAGCTCGGTAGTGCTGATATTCCCAGAATTATCCAGGTCGTTCTTCTTGTAGATGTTCTATAACAGGCAACAAAAATACGCCGATTGCAAAAATAACCCATTAACTGTTTAGCGTCAACTAAAAAACAGTTTGACGAATGCTGTTGGTTAAAAATTGGTTTCTGAAGCTGATCTATGCATTTTATATCTGTTGTCATGGGTCGCAAATTTGATTTTGGTCAGCAGTTAATCACTGACTAATGACTAATCAGTCACAATTTCACTCACAACATTAAATATTTTTGCTGGCTGACTGTGTTTGGGGTTGAATCTGAACCAATGTTTTATGTCTCTTACCATGTATTTCTGCACTTTCTTCCACAGTGTAGCGAACTCGCCCAGGCCCAGCTTCCCATCACTGCTGTCCTGAGAGTCAGTCAAGGGAAACATTCAATATGGCCGCATACATGGTGCTGTACAGCCCGTGATCCACAGGTGCCTACTACTGTTTGACAGTTGGAGAGCAAAGTTGTGGGGGGTGGGCTGAGCTGTCAGCGAATTTTCTCCTTTTACTACAAATTTCCTTCATTTTTAGCCAAAAAATACTTCTTTTCAAACATAAAGATAACAGGGCATGCTTAAACCTGACTGGCCATCTGTTGTGATCTATCTGCTAAAAGGCCTATTCTGGCTTATAAGGCTTCATATTGGTGTATCGCGTTCGGAATTTGTAGACGGTCCCTAGGCTTTCAGAGATCAACCTGTCCTGTGAGCTTAGACTTCACATGAAAACGAAGCAGGAGCTGATTATCTTGGTACAAAAAATTTGAAATTTGAACAATACCAATAACATTTATCGGAAAAGGAAACCAACTTTACCACTCCTTTTTCACACTTCAGAACTGCTGAGTGATGTTAGCTTGCTTCAGCATTAAAATGTGGCACATTAACTATAATATTTTTAGCTATTCAAACTGCAAAACAAACAAGAATAAAATAGCTTACTTTCAGATCAGTTTGCTGCTATTATGCAAATTCAGGTAAATGCCTGATTTGAATATCTTCGGGAAAATGCTGCAGTTCAGTTCTGCCAATGATAATTAAATACTTACTACTATTTCTATAGATTTGCTGAATAAAGGGCCAGAAAATGCCTCCTGGGCTTGGCCACCAGGATTGAAAGTGAGGCAAATTAAAATGGCCTCACTGTGGGACCAGAGGCAGGAGGTGGGGCTCGGGACTCGCGAGCAACCCCCCAATTCCATCCAGAATTTCATCCTCTCTCCACTGGTTTTGTGGGGTTTCGTCTGGGCTCGGAGTTTCTTGCCGGCTCTCGCAGCCTTCATGGGGGCCCAGGGGACGAGCACATGCCACACAGGGCTCCCAATAAAAGTGGGAGGGTGCAGGTGCTCCACCTACTCCATTGTTCTAGTGCCTACATACTACCTACTCACTCGCTTGGAGAGACTGAACAACCTGTTGATGACTTGAGATGTCATGGGCTTGGTCTCAGCTTATGGTAACTGTCATCATGGCCATGAGCAACAGACTAACGGCCAATGAGACCAAGTGTGATCAAAAAGATAAGCATAACACTGAACAGCAGAGGATACGTCCATGAGGTTGACCAGGATCCGACATGTATTCAGGCTGAAGCCGTCTGTCTTAATGTCAGTTCCTAAAAAAAACAAACGAAAAAACAGTAACCAGGTAAGACTGAACTCTTAATGTTCTAGATTTAATAAAGAGCATACGTACGTTTTGCAATAATTTTGTCGAAGATCGATTTGAGCTCCACAGCAGAGATCTTCATATCCTGGAATAGAGAGGCAGATGAGTCATTTAGACAGTATACACCCAAAACTTACTACATGGCTAACAAAAGCCATTGCAGAGAATAGCTATGACTTGTAGAACTGCTTTATGTGCTGTGACCCCTTAAATCCCAGGATTATTACATAATAAGGCTTATTATTTACTAACTACAGGGGCTTCAGTGCTAACTGGCTGAGCTATTGTTAGGTGTGCTAAAACCTTGGGCCCACCTGGGGGTCCTGGACATTTAAGGGTTAATAATGTGTGCAGTTGCAAAATTAACGTTAAAATTAATTGCTGTTGAAGTTAACGCCTCCTAGGTTCTGTGAAAAAAAAGTAGAGAATTCTTTGGAGATTCAAAACCACAAGTGTGAGATTATTTAAGTTTGACAAAATGTAATTGTTGTGCATACAATTTAACTTTTTTTTCGTTATTTCTGACACTAGCCACGTTTATATGCAGCCTGATAATCCGTTAACAATCCCACTAGTGGTTTAATCAGAATAGAACACATCCATGTAAACACCTCAATCGGAATAGTCTAGTCCAATTGAGGCCATTCGGAATACAATGTCTATCTAATTGTACAAGGTGGGTGATCCTGTAAATAATCCATTAAATAGCAGAATAATAACTGTGTAAACTCCTGTATCTGATTACGTTCCCTATCAGAAAGTTTAAGCCCGTTCTGATCATGTTCGTCACGTCATAGTGAAAGTTTATACCGTTCAACATGGCGGAGCAGAAACTGGTCTGCAAAGGAGACGAAGTTTATGCTCCGATCTTTAAAAGACGGCGGTGGGACGGACGTCCAGCTTATGTGTCTCAGAACACGACGTCTTCCTCTCGGCCTTCTTTAATAAGGACATGTGAAGGATGTTTTCCTGAGTCTGACATCATTTTAAAGCAATTAAAAACACAAGCGCTGCTCACTGCTGCTCATCTCACTCTGACTGGACTCACGTGATGCTCGTTGTCATGGTAACATCTACACAAAGTGGTTCTCTATGTATGCACAGAATTTTGATCGGATTACTTGTAGTGAGCATGTAAACTGAGATTTTCCATCAGATTGTTGAGTAAAGTGAACATAAACACCTCAGTCTTAATCTGTAATCAGAATGTATTCAGTCAGATCGGCAAAAATCTTTGCATGTAAACACAGACAGTGAAACAAATGGGAAAATATCTAACCTGTCCATGTAGCTTGTAAAAAAAATTGCAATAAGTTTTTAATGTAACAGTGTTATTAATTATATACATACATATACCTGTACAGTACCCTATTAAGGCTGATGCAAGAAAGCAGCTATTTGTGCCATTTTCTTGACTCTTTTCTATCCATAACACAATAACTAAATGGTGTTGTTGCATTAATTTCACATGTAGAACGCGATTTAACAAAACAATGCCAAAAATGAAACAGATTTGTCACAAACTACCATTCTGGACAAGAAAAGAGGGAATATAAGTGCTTTATCGTTTATGCCTTATCATTACTCCAGGTTTTGTTCATATTATTAAGCATTATTAAATATGGTGATTAAGAACTGAAGAACTGTACTTACACTTCCTGCAAGCTTTTTGAACAGACTCACGAAATTTGCGTCTACTTCACTCTCTGACACAGTTTCCTGAAAACAACAATTAAGCTATGTTGAGTGAAAGGAATTTCCTATTGCATTGCACAGCGCACAACTGTTTACACTATATGGCCAAAAGTATGTGGACACCTGACCATCACACCAATATGAGCTTGTTGGACATCCCCATTCTAAACTCACGGCCATCAACTTGTCAAGCCATATCTTTACGGATCTTGCTTTGTGCATTGCCACAGTGTGGCTGTAACAGGAAAGGCTCTTCCCCAAACTGTTGCCACAAAGTTGAAGGCATATAATTGTCGAAAATGGCTTTATATGCTGTAGCATTAACATCACCCTTCACTGGAACTAAGGGGCCTAAAAAAACAGCCCCAGCTCATTATCCCTCCTCCACCAAACTCTACTATTTGCAATATGCATTGTGGTTCATAGCATTCTTCTGGTTTCCCAGATTCTTTTATCAGACTACTTGATAGTGAGGCCTGATTCATCACTCCAGAGAACATGTTTTGACTCTTCCACAGTCTGGTGGTGGTGCTTTACACCCCTCCAGTCGCCACTTGGCATTGCACATAGTGACCCTAGTCTTGAGTAGTACCTCTACTACTTTGCAGCTGAGATGTTGTTGCTCTTAGATGCTTCCATTTCACAATAATAGCACTTACAGTTGTCTGGGGCAGATCTAGCAGGGCAGATATTTCACAAACTGACTTGTGGCAGAGTTTAAAGTCAGTGAGCTCTTCAGTACGATCCATTCTACTGCCAGTGCTTGTCTATAGAGACTGCATGGTTATATGCTTGATTCTGTTATCAGTGTGTGTGGCTGAAACACCTAAATTAAGAGAGGTGTCCACATACTTTTGGCAATATAGTGCACAACACAAACCATATGCTTGTAAAAACTGTCTGGAGCTACAAGATAGATGTTTCCAATAAAATAGCCAGCGAGGATATAAATGATATGACTATTATGGTCCTCGCGAGGTCACTTGTGAAGGTCACTTCAATACAAAAAGGAAAAAAATCAAAGGCAAAAACTCACATTTTCTAATTTAGCATCAACAGGATCATCACAGCGCCTATAAAGGAAAGATTTGCAATTATTAATTCACAAGGTCCTTCTGTAGAGTGTAGCGCACTAGAGAGAATGGACTCAGAATCCGAGGGTTTCAGTCACATGATGTTTCTGTTGTGGCCGCCATAATTGAGACCGAATTTCTGGCTTCGCTGCTCCACACGAAAGTAACTAGAGGTGAAAGATGGCTAAAATTACCCTCCTTACTTTGGAAGAGTAAAAACATGTCCTCGATAAAGTCGATAAAACAGCCTGAGATCCTTATACAGTTTACCCTGAACTCCTGGTTCCACTTAAACTGGTGAAAAGACACCAAATTTGTGTTTTCCTGACATTTATATTTATCTCACACTCAGCCCCTCTCCCTGTTCTGGAGAGTCTCTCAAAGCATTTAAAAGCACAGAAGCCCACCGGCTCTTCACGTCAGGGTGGGTAAAGGATCCCATGGTGTTCATAAAGAGGAGAAACACTCTGTGATCATAGGAGGGTAACGACATCAGCTAATTAACACAGATGTGAACAATGCTATCCTTTAGATAACTTTAGCTAACGTTATCAGCCGAGAGATGAACAGTCCCCCTAACGGAGCTGCAGACAGCCGGTATAACTTCACTCTCTGTTCCTGGAGATTTAAATGAGGTTTGAATGGAGAAACATAAGTGTTAAATATCAGACTGAATGTCGTGGGTCTGAAAACGACGTCGTGTTTCGACAGACGTGATTCTGTAAGTTTGCTAGTGCAGTTAGTTCAGAGTTCAGCTCCAGTCCTGAAACCCCTGCACTGCATAACTGTGGTTTCCTGGTTAAAATACCTGATATTATTAGCTAATTAATCCCTTCTTGAGCCGAACGAGGTGAACAGCAGAGAGAAACACTAAACTATACAGTGCAGCGGCTCCAAACCTGGAGTGAAAACACTGAATTAAAGGTCTGTGTGTCTCTCGTCTCTCGGCTTCTGTTGCGTCTTGCAGGTCAATCGTTCACAAAGTACAGCAGTTTGAAGGCGTCGCGCAGCACAGTTAGGCCCTGCTTCAGCCCTCAAAATGGTGGCAACTATATAGTGTGACGTCAAGTGAAATGCGAGAGTAGTTACTGTGTTTCGGTCTGCTTCTCGGAGAAGACACGCAGGCAGAAGTCTCCATCTTTGTTAGGCTCGAAGGTGGAGGGGACGACGAGGTATTCTCCCGGAGGCAGCTTGAACCTGGTGCTGACCTCTCTCAGGTTGATGAAGGTTTCAGAACGAGCCTTCTGAGCGTGCGTCAGGAAGAAGTTCTTATCCAGATGCACATTCCTCTGGCCTCGGAACTGAAATTAAGAGAGCCAATCAGAAGGCGGGAAAAAGCAAGGCCTGAAAACTTTTAGCAGAAACGTAAAAGTGCTTGGGTGCTGGATTTAAATCTTACCTGTGGAGGCACCTGTGGACACAAGGCAACAAAAAGGTGTCAGGATTCTCACATACAACAGCTGATTCACTCAGAACAATACAGCAAGACAGTATTCCCTTATACAGTACCAGACAAAGTGTGGACACATTTACTTCTAAAAGGATTTTCCTTATTTTTGACACTTTCTGACAACTGGCATGCACACTCTGCATGTGTAGTGGCTAGTGCTGGGCATTGCCACTCTTTTCAGCTCACTTAAATTAAACACAGTGGATAACCAAGAACAGAAATGCTTACAAAATGTTTACAAAAAAAAATGGAAAATTGTAAATTTACGGATTTTTTACCTTGCTGGTTTCCATGCCTGGTTATACCAAGCATGACTCATCATATAAATATCATCAATATTAACAGTGGTTTACAAACTAGGAAAGGGACAGAGTTATGGAACTGAGGGGAATCATCAATTCATCCACCTGAAAATATGCCACAGGGCTTATCTGACACCCAGGGTAAGACACTTGCTGGGTTTAAGCCTCTCTGTACTTTCTGTCCACTCTGGGGCCTTTTATGCACGTTATGTGGGACTGCCCAAAAGTTTATGCTTTTTGGGACGAGGTTGTTGATTCTATCTCTTCTCTGACCAAGACATACTTCCCCCTGAACCCTGAACTTCATTTACTGAATGATAACTCTAAATTCCCCATTACGGAATGTTCCCGTAAAATATGGCTGGCTGGCGTAACAGCAGCAAAAAAAGTTATCGTCCAGCATTGGCTGCCCCCTCACAACCTGTCCATACAGCACTGACTCCATACCTTACTGGATATCCTATATCTGGAACTGTCATCTGCAAGAATTAGTAATGCTGGCCCTGGAGCTCTTGATACATGGATTCACGGAATACTTAAAGTCGGGACGCTTATGCTCGCTTAACTATATGCTGTGTTCAAGTTGTGAATGATGTAACTCAATTTTCATGTGTCCTATGTTGTAGCTGTGATCTGGTTTTGTTTGTAAGTCCAATGTTTTTTTTTCATTTAGGAAATAATTTTCATTTGGGAAATAATAAAAATATATATACAAAAATGGAGATACAAGGTTTCCGTCCGACAGCAGCGATATATTCATTAGCAGTGTAATAAGCAGCAGTTAGTACACAGTTAATGGGTAATTAATAACTTAGTGAACCATTAATACATATATAAATAATGAGTATTTTATTACTTATTAGCATGTAACTATCAATTAATTTCCAACACTTAATATAAAGTGTTACAAGTAATCTCAAATTGACTTTCTTATGGTTTTTGACACTATATGATTACCTATACATAGACACAATATGGCCAAAATTCAGGCTTCTACTGTTTTTTCACTATGCAATAGTCCATATTTTCACATAACAGAATGTCATATAGTGTCAGAAACCACATATGTGAGTCTATTTGTGTTTTAATGTTTGTTGTTTTGTGTGATTATTTGCACATTGCTAACTGATCTACATAACTTCCATTACTTGTTGGCCACATTATCCTTATAGCTCCAGTGGTGCAAAACTTCATCTTCGTCAGCTTCACTGATCATATTCTTAAGCGATCAAACATGTCTTGGCTAAGAAACTGCATTTGCGGTTCTCTGACCTCATAGATGGCGTAGCCGATGGTGTGCATGTCCTCCCCGTCCTTCCTCAGCCGTCGTCGGTTCTTCTGGATCAAGCCCAGCACTATGCTGCAGCCTGTTTCGTTGTCGTATGGGTCGTCATCCTCTTCGTTCAGCTTGATCACAAACTGAGGGTTCATCCAGAATGTATCTGCAGAAGGGGGGCAAGTTAGACAGGGGAAAGTAGAAACCCAGGATCGAGCCCTAATCGAGCACACCTGTGTCTCATAGCCCGAGGTTCCAGACTACATTACTAAGTTTGAGAAGGATCAAAGTCAGTAGATCCTGATGTTCTCCAAGGCTATGTTGGAAATACTACCTACTACCTATCCCAAAAGTAACATGTGACCAACATGAATTTCCCCAGTACGCCAAAGATACCTGGGTGATAAACTACCCTGGCCAAAGATCTCAGTTTATTGGCACAGCTATCTTCATGATACACTACGTCCCAAAATTAATGGAATGGTCATTCCAGGAGGACTAAACTACTGAAATAACCACCTGGTTTGCTACATTATTTACCTTGGATTGAGAAGAGTTGCAGTGGAAAGTGCTTCTGCAGAGCTGTATGTAAAGTACATTTCATAGTTTTGATCCTCATCTGTCTCTTACAACAGTCACTGTAAAACAGTGACAGCAGGAATCACATCCACTTGTGCTCACAGACGCAGCTATCTTCATGATATACTGCGTCCCAAAATGATGGGAACGGTCATTTCAGGAGGACAAAACCACTGACATAACTGCCTGGTTTGCTCCCAACAATTTAATATTGGGTTTCGGCCTTATATAGTTTGCTCTGCTGAAGCCCCCTCAGCTTTCTTTAGCATTGCTAAAGAGTTGAAAAGCAACTAGCAAAGGTTGCTAAGCAGTGAATGAAGGGGTAAGGAAAATGGGACAGGTCCTGAGATGGATCCGGTTGGCTGAGCCCCTAATGTTGGCAGTCTATACTGGTGCAATTTTCAGTGTACAGTACACAATGTGTTATTTTGAACACAGCCAAGGGAGTACATTTTAAACCCCATGTGTCACTGGTACTGGTACTGCAGTCCAAGTTCAAAATATTGGAGAGTGTTTACAACCCACCCTCCCAACCCCAGACATGAAGCTGACGCGGGTTGCCAGGTTGAGGACACTGAACCATAGATATACATACCTAGATGCTGCGTTGAGTCCAGCCAGGCACGTCAACGGCGCCGCCATTTTGGGGCGGTCAACATCGCTGCTGGACTGCATTCAGTACCATTACAGAGCGGCAGTTTCAGAAAGATACTGTCCAAAATTACACTATTTCAGGAATATTACACTCAGAAAGTGGGACAGGATTATATAATGGAGGGAACGCAGTGATCCACACTCATGTCTGTGTGATGTGTATTGTTTGTGGGGTGTTTATGTAGATATGGCCGTGTGGTTGGTGAAGCTCAGAGAACCTGCTGATGTGATTGTTTTTCCTCTGGTTTTATATGAAGCTTATTTCATTTGATAGTCTATTCAGGGGATCTTAACTTTATGTAGTAGTTATTTATTTACAGTGATGGTTAAAGCTGTGTAGCTGGGTAAGTTATATCATTCCTATCCGTATAGATATTCATAATAGATTAACATTAGCACTTTCTTACACAATGCTGCAGTTAGCTTCTTATTTGCCAGCGTCTTGTTCAAATTTTCCTGTTCCGCCTTAAATGATGCAGCTTCAGGCACCAGAAAGTGACTGCACACTAAATGCAAGAATACTTTTATTCTATATTCTTATACTAGTTCATTAACAGTATTCCAGTTGTCTTCTGGAAAAGCAGACCTAATAAATCTCCAGCAGCCGTTGTTGTTGAGTGATCAGTTGTAGTTTCCATGCACAACATGCCAACGTGAAATGTTTGTAGGGGAACCGGCTGATCTGGATCTGCTACTTAGCTAATTAGCTCACAGTCTAAAGCGCTGTACCGCAGTAAAAAGCCAATAAAGTCATTCAAAGTTTGGCACAGAGTAACGTATGAAGAGGACAGTAGTAGGATGTGTTAAGGTTTCTGTTAACTTTAGAGAAGAAGTGTGCAAATATTTATTCAGAGGTCGTTTGACTGGTCGTCTTGTTCTTGGCACAGTGGCGCTGTGTCTTCAGCGGCCACTTTCATGAATAATGCGTTTTGACAACAGAGCAGGTTGACTTCTACGCCGGGGCGACTCTAGGATCAGAGCTTTAGGGGTGCTGAGCACCCAGTGAGACCAATAAGATTGCCCTGTCACCAAAAGTACCCAGCTTAGAGGGAGGGACTTTGAGCAAATGTGAGTCAGAGAACAAGGAGTGGTTGGTATAGTGTACAGGGTAACACTTCTGCCTTCTACGCTGTAGGCTGGGGTTCAATCCCCCACCTGGGCAAGCCCTCTACACTATACCAATAAGGGTCCTTGCGCAAGACTCCTAACACTACTGATGCCTACCTGTCTTAAAAAATAGGCCATACAAAGATTTAGAAATATGGCGATACTTCAAAGTTGGACTGATGTGCTCTCAGGATCTGGGTTAAAACCCTAGCAGCTGAGTTTTGCACATAATGCAGCCTATTCAGAACCAGAGCAGGGAGTCCATGTAGCCCAGCATTGCAGTAGTCAATTACTAGATGTTACAAGATCATGGATAATAGTCTCAGCAGCAGCAAACGAGAGAAAAAGGCAGATCTTCAGATGCTCCCTAGATGGAAAAAGGCTGCCTTACAAGTGTTTTTGATATGGGGTTCAAAAGACAGAGTGGAGGCAAAAATGAAATTTGTAATCTGGGTGGAAGAAGAGACAATGTAGCCCAGAACAGAAACAGCAGTGTTGCTTATCTTTTTAATTGTAGCTGGAGAGGCAATAAGTATGGCCTCTGACTTGTTACTATTCAGATTCAGGAAGTTCTCAACCATCCATGTCCTGACATGCAACCCATGTATGGAGTTAGTTTTGTGCCAAAATGTTTGAGAGAAGATCCTGATGTTTGAGAGCGGAATGTTCTGGTTTGAGTGGACAGCGGTGCTCTGAGCGCAGCTACTGAACTTGAACGCTCTTGTCAGCGAAGTGTGGCAGATAAACATCTCAGATTTGCTCAACAAAACACTCAAAACTTTAAAATCTGCACAACAATGTTTTTCCCTTTCAGAGCTCGAACCTGCAAAACACTCCGGTTTTCACTCAAAACTGGAAAACCTGCTCAATCATGCTCTTCACCTTCAAAACTTGCACGTGTGCACAAATCATGTAGGCTCACAGTTCACAGAGTGCGCTCAACTTTCACATCTGCTCGCTGTAAAATGTCTGAACGTTTGTGTCAAAACTCCAGCCAATCAGAGCTGCCGAAGGGCGGTTACTGTCAGCGCACCAATCATGGCGTCTTTTCTTAAGCAGCTTTATGCCAATTGGTCAAGGTCCGTTCGTGGCTGTGGTATTGAGTCGGCTAGTGTGCTTGGAGCCTCGACATTAGCTAGATGGTTTATAGCTTTCTAGTATCAAATTAATAGCAACGATTTATCAGTAATACTCTGTCATAAATAATAACGTATTAATATAACTAACATTGGTAGCTCGGCCATTTGTTTCCTACATTCCTCTCTCAAACATTTTGGCACAAAACTAACTCCATACCCATGTCGCCTGATGATGTCACCAAGGGGGAGCGTGTACAGTATAAAGAGCAATGGGCCGAGAACTGAGCCCTGGGGGACACCAACTGACAGGGAGCACAAGTCAGATCTATAACCTCCAAGGCCTACCAATAACACAACAGCTAGCTTCCCTCACTCTAAATTCAAAGAGTGGACAGTGGTTAATTGACAACCTGCAACATTAGCTTGCTAGATAAATAACAACAACAAAGACTTTTTACACTTATTTTAAAGTCTTAAAAGGGGCTAGACATGCCTCGGGCTTCTACATACAGTACTGGGCAATGTATTTTTTATCACTTTTGGTGGTCTAGCAGGTCTTGCACAACCCCATTTTTTGGAACTCCATTTTTTTTTCCTTTGGCTTTCTCATTTCTTATGCAAGTGAATCAGCTATATAATATTCTCAGAAATATCTCCTGAAAAAGTGAGTAACTTGTACAGAACAGCTGCTTGTATGAAACACTGGAGATTAAATAAATGAAGGGTGGTCTCTACGCACAGTGCTGCATAAAAGCAGTGCCAAAATATGTGGACTACAACTTAAAAAGTGGCCAACGAATGAATAAAAAGAAAACTTGAGCAAAATGAATTTAGGCCATTTGGGTTTGACTATGATTACTGTATATGATAGGACTAAAAGTTTACTAAAACTACAGTGCACTTTAGTCTAAGTTCTTAGATTAGATTCGATAGGTAGATTTGAACTGCATTCGTTTTGCCAGGGAAGATCATGATGTAAAAGGGATTTGACTGACCAAAATAAAGTATTGGCGTAGACAGTCTGGATTGAAAAGTCACAGCCAGCGTTACGCCACTCAATAACAATAACAACACGGAGCATTAGCCGGCCTTGGTATTTGAGGTCAATTTGTACCGGGCTACTCTTGCTGAGGGATCTTCAAGTTTAGCCAATTACACATGACCATCTACTCCACTATTATTACTGTCAGGCTGTAAAAACTACCCAGTGTGGATTCACACTAAACCTCATTGGTAATCACTTCAACTTAAGCACATCCCCACATAAAATGAATCTAGAAAATAGCTTAAGACTAAATCTAAATGAGTGGCAATATGAACGCTGTCTCTTACTGGGGTTGTTCCTGCAGCCTCCTGCGGTGGACCCCCTCCTCCAGGTGCTGCTGTAGTTGCACACACTCCAGGGCTTGACGGAATCACCGGTGATCGCATCTGGGGTCAGCGTGCAGATTTCTATACGAGAGTACTGCTGCATGAACTCTGAGAACGCCATCCTGAACACAAACACATATACAAAATTACATTCTGAATGCACAGAGAGAAAACCAGTAACCATGTAACATGTAAAACAAACAAAACTAAACATAAATACCACAAGGGCGGAATTTTGAATTGCTACCATTACCAAAATTCTCCATCCTCTGCGTTGGCACTCGGACGTTCTGAGGGATCCACCGAGTTCCATTCAGACGAGCTGCACATGTAGGAAAGACAGCATCCATCTGTTTATTTCTCACCACAGCAAGAGAAGAACATCCTGCCTCTGCCATACATGCACATTCAACAACAGCTGTTGTCAAAAAAACCCTGGCTTATCATTGAGTCACATCTACTATAACTGTATATGTTATTTGTTATTAGATTTAAACAATGAAGCAGGCAAGAAAGAGTATGTGGTGTTGATCTGGCTTGTGCTGGAGACTAGGGAGATGTACAGTACCTGTCGCTCCAGGCTCCAGTCCACTCCACCTGACCCCAGGGGTTCCGCATTCGCACCAGCTTTTCCAGCCCGCCGCGGTAGTTCACCTTAAACGAAAGACAGACTCTCAGGCTAACATTACAAACACATTCATACAACATCCATTAATCAAATGTAGAATCTAAAAACATGTATACAAACTCCACCACACACTCAGATTAGGCCTTTTTTTCTGATTTAGTTTTTAGTCTTAGTCTAGTGTTGATGATTGTAGCTATAGTTCTATTGTGAATCTCATTTATGAATTATGTTTAAAAGATGTTTTAATTACTTACAGAATGTTTTAAAATAATGTACTTGAATTAAAGCCCCCCCCCTCACATTGGGCTTATACTGTTCAGGACAGTGGACATTCTGAGACTCCTGATGTAGAGAACACTTAATGGATAGGGAATAATGGATTGTTGGGTAGTGCTGTTTGTTAGTTTAAGTAGCGTTATACACCGATTAGTCATAACATTATGACCACCTCCTTGTTTCTACGCTCATTGTCCATTTTATCAGCTCCACTTACTATATAGGTGCACTTTGTAGTTCTACAGTTACAGACTGTTTAAAAATACCAGCAACACTGCTGTGTAGGTACTACTTGGGTGGTGGATCATTCTCAGCACTGCAGCAACACTGACGTGGTGGTGGTGTGTTCGTGTGTGTTTTGACTGCATTGTTGATGCTGTGAAGGAAAAGCTAATGGAAACCCTGTTAAAGAAATAACACAATCGAAAAGGGACCCAAAATATGCCTGACATACTTGCCATCTTAACAGATTATTATCATTTTGCTTTGGTTTCCAGTTTCTGCATATAATAACTGCTATCCACTTTCCAAGGAGAAACTGCAAAACCTGTTTCTGCTTATTATCCTTCAGTGCTGAATTGGGTTTTAAGTGTCCTGGCTGGTTTCTGTTTGTACCTCGACAGCTCCTGTGAGAGAGTAGGCGTGTCCCTTGACCAGCTTCTGACGGGTGATCGCCTCTGAATCAGCAGCACTCGTGATCTAGAAATGCATGAACACCACACGAATAGGTTATTCAAACTAGCCATGTAAAAGCCATCCAGTGAAGAGTGAACTGAGTGGAATGTCTCACGTCTATAGAGCAGCCCAGCAGAGATCCGCACTCCAAGGCTTTTTTAATGATCTGGAAGATGTTGGCCGGAGCTTTCCTCAGCTCGTAGGACTCAGCGATGCCGCCGGTGAAGTCCTCGAAGCCCTCGGTGGTGGAGCCTCCAGACAGAGCCTCATAGCAGCCGTTAACCCTGTAGTAGACAGCTAAGATCAGTATGGCACAGGACTGCCAATCATATAGTAGCCGAATATGGCCACTGTACCACTCGTATGGGTCTGTTTTCTGACAGTCCACTGTAGATGCTCACCCTGACTGTAACTTGCATTCAACTAAATATCTACTAAAAGGCTGAAATTTTACCAGTTTTTCACAAAAAAATGCTCACTTCATTCAGAACGGTTTGTTGTGAAATGAACCATTCCAGAGAGTCAAAATTGTTCACAGTGGTGGTGATAAGAACCGTTTGAAGGATACTATTTGTTTTTTGTTTTGATGGTTCTAAGATAAGGGTTTGGCCTCAAACCTATTTTTAAGCCTGTTCATGGAGGGGGACAATCATGATGTTGTAAGGCAAATTAGTCATGAATAAAAATGTATTTTTTTTCACATTAACCTCTTTTGTACCATTATCAACATTAGGTATAAAAACTTTTTTTTTCTTATTGCTTTGGATACTAAATAAAATGGCTATATTTGTGTTATAGACATCACAACCTCTGTTCCTAGAAACTGGAATCTGTACTGCATCTGCATCTGAAACTAGAATCTTTACTGTGATGTACTTGTAACGTCCAGGCAACCTGCTAGGCCACCTCCGGCCACTAGGAAGGACCATAGAGCCAGGACTGAGTAAATAGGGCTGAGCAATAGCAGCTGTGGGCACCCTGGTTAAGAGGTGCTCACACGCTGCTCGGCGATCAGTCTTGAGTTCACGCTGCAATGAGCACGTCACTCAGAGCTCTGCTCGGTCTCACTGACCGAGTTTAGGGAAAAGCAAGGGTGAGATAAAAGAAGGGAGTTTTAGATGTCAGTTTTGGGGACCTCTCAATTTGGGTTATCCTTTTAAGTCTTTAGTTAGCACTGTATTTATCCCCCTTTGGTGGCAAATTACGGGGATGATTGACGGTTCAATTCTCCGCATAACTCATTACTTTCCTTGTCTACTGCATTTGCTTTTTCATCTATTCTTTTTTCAGTTTATTATCCTATCTCTTAGCAATTTTTGTTTCTTTTCTGAGTTGCACCTTCCTCCTTGCTCTCAGTTGCTCTGCACTTAAGGCCATCCTATTGCGTTCGCCAGGTGGTTTGTCCGGTAGCGCTCCTGACTGCTAACATAAGAGTCGTGAGTTCAATCCTCCCCCTTAGGGCGAATCCCCAGTACTATTTCACATCAAAACAATGTTTTACTTTATTTACCTTGCAAAAGTTTGAAAAATTGGTGGAATTCCCCTTTAAATTCAAATGAACTTTTCAGAAAACCTAACTCTAATCCTTACTCTAATTCTACCCCTAAAACCTAGTTTAACAGTGTTAATGTTAGTCAATAAACTGTAGGGGCCCATTGAATAAAGATGTATGTAGTTTTCAAGCCAGAACGTGTCTTATTGGTGAACTGTGATTTGAAGGCATACATTAGTTTTTGAACGTAAATTTATTAAAGTGCAATGATAAAACGTGAGTTACGGGAGTAATTTTGGGGTCGTTCCATTTTCAAATGTGCAGATTTGCATTATGTTTACAGTTTACAGTGTATTTGTCATTTATCAGATCGGCTTGTACAAGTTTGCGTTTCAGTTTGGTTTGTGATACGTTCATTCAGATTAAACCCTTAACAAGCCATGGAGCCGCCAGCAGGCCCAAAGTATTATTACACACTTCTATAACCTAAAAGCAGCTCCATTAGTTTGCAGTGAAGTCCTTGTAGTTACTGAATAATAAGCCTTTGTATGTAATAAGGCTCGGAATGTTCAGGGTTCACACCCATATTTGCATATAATTTCCTTACATGCTTTGGACAGTGTTGTCATTTGTCTCTCAGAATCGCAAAGCTGGCCCAGTGAAGTATGTGAAGCTGGCAACTGTGGTCACTTTTGGGCCATGATTGCTTGACACTGAATGTATTACAAACATTGTGGTTAAAGTTCAAATCTGCCTTTTTCTTTCATTTTCATAAACCGTAACGCAGCTACAATACAGACTGTACAGGTAAGGCACAAATTTCATGGCTCACTTTATAATTGTGATTCTGGTACCAGTGCAAGCAAACTGGAACACAAGCTTGTAAAAGTAGATCTGATAAATGAAAAATACAAAATGCAGGCAAAATGCAAATTTGCACATCTGAAAATGTAACCGAATGACCTACGACCCCAAAATTACTCCTGTAACTCACTTTTTATAGTTGCAATTCATACAACAGTTAGTTCCGGCCATGCAAGCTTATTGGTTGAGAAGTGTTATGAAATAACAGCACGGTTTTTTACACAAACACTGTTTCATTCTGCTGAGACGCCGCTGCTAAGCAACGACTTTGACGGCTGTAGGAGACGCTCAAGCCATTTGAACGTTTTTACTTCTTACTTTGCCACAAACAGAAAATGGACACTTTTAAGATCACATTTGACCGACAGCCGATTTGGTCAGACTCTGAAGATGAGACTAAACTAAATTCCCAAACTGTCATCACCACTGAGCAGCTTTTCAGTCGGCAGCTGTGACAGAAGAACAGCTAAACAACCTGGAATGAGCCAGAAATTAACCCAATACCATTCGCCACACGTGTAGTCTGATCTTCAGAGTCTGACCAAATCAGACTGAGCCATAAAACTGCCGCAATATCAAGTTCAGCTCAGTTTTGTCAGTTTTTGCCAGATCAGTATTAATGTTGTTTTGTTCCAGCCAGTCTGTAAAGCATCTTACAGCCCATTTAGTTTGGCGAATGGTGCTCATTTCAAGGTTAATTTCTGGCTGATTCCAGGTTGTTTAGCTGTTCTTCTGTCACAGCTGCCGACTGAAAAGCTGCTCAGTAGTGATGACAGTTTGGGAATTTAGTGTAAGGAGTTGGAGAACGAACTGCCGGCTGTGCAGTGAGTGGGCGGAGCTCGTTACTCTGATGTAGCAACAAGCTGCTTGTTAAGGAACTATAATTTGGTGAAGGAACTGCGAACATTAAAACATATTAAACGCCGCGTTCACGGCCCAGTTTATTAATTTATTACTGTATTTATTTAACTGTTGTATTAAAGCAGTAGAACACTCGAGGAGTGTGTTATCGCCAGTAACATCACGGCTGTGATGATCTACGGCAACCAAATCACAGCCGTGATGTTATTTACATTACAAAATAGTATTACAGACAAAATAGAACCTGTAGTGCCACATATAGTAAATAATATAATAAAAACAACAAACTGTGCTGTGATAAATCCAGGCCTAAATATGCTCTGTTTGCAAGGAAACATGCTGTTAATCAGTGTTCTTTAGGTACTGATGATGTCTGCACATGCTCAGAAATGCATATTGTAACCTAATTTATCACAATATCGATAAAATATTGTCGTATTGCCCACCCCTATGTCAGTAATGCTCCTGAGGCTAAACTGCAAACAGTAGTGTTTACACAAACAAACTCACTTGGCGTAGGCCTTCTCCAGCAGGGCGCTCCAGAACTCGTTCCCCTCTTCAGAGTGGACAAACAGCAGCTTCCCATCCTTCACCGGCAGCCGGTCATCGATGACGACGTCCACCCACTCACCAAACTGCCAGAACTAAAGAGGGAGAGAGCAGAAGGGCTTTTTTAAGGAATCTGTAGAAATCTTGGTTCATTAAAGTCCTACTCATTACAAAGCCTTTTTTCCTGGTTTTATTTTTTAACATAGGAGTGTGATATAGTGTGTATGAACCTTCCTTGGTATGAGGAAAAGGCGAGTTTCCGATGCTGCACATGCATGTGTTTTATCATCCCTTCATAAGCTCTGAATCGCTTAACCATTGACTGCAGACATTCATTATATTGTGCATTAAAGTGCCAAGGTTTCTCCATTGTGTAGAAGCAGAAAGCCACTCGAGGCTGTTACAGGGATTTCACCCTGCTTTGCATTGTGCAAAATCACGGTAGCACAGGTCCCGTACCTTACAGCTCTAATATCACAAAACAGGTAAAATAAGACAGAAATAAAAGCAGCGAGTCCAGATAGAACAGAGAATAGCCTGATTCAAGAAGTTCGGTAGACATTATCATCATTCCTGTACGTCATCAAATCTGCCCAATCAATAACCTTTTACTCGTACTTCTCATGTCCACATCTTTGTGTGTTAAACATGTCAGTGTGAACGCTAAGCGAACCAGAACTAAAATCCAACAATGCATCATTTTCTGCTTTGGTCCAGACTAAGAGAACTGAACTACAAGTTGCTGCTGTCTGAAGAAAACCTTGTATCGTTTTTCAGTTTTTCACATAATTTGGAAAAACCTGTTGTTCTTTATATTGTGTGTGAATTTCATGATGAATGGACCAAAAGAAACAGCCCAAAATGACTAAACATCTAGTTCCATTGACTTACATTAAAAGTATGTTCCAACAGCAGTGAAGTACAACTGCACCCTTAGAGTCATTTGAAGCAGCTGATTGGTTCTGACATTAAAGAGAAATTCCACTCTGCGTAATTAACTGGTTAAGATGTAAACAAAGTCATCCAGAGTGGCTTCTAGAGAAACGTACCATCTCTGAATTGTTCACAGTGGTGGTGATAGGAACCAGACAGACATCTGTGGAGTTTAATGCCTCATAAAGCTCCTTAACAGAAAGTTATTACATAGAATGGTTATGAATATGTGACCTGATGCCTGAGACGTTAAAGGTTTTGGTCTAAAACATTTTTTTTTTTAATCCAGATGTACATGCAGGATGTTGAAAGGCAAAATAATCCCCAATCAAAATGTATTTTTTCAGATTTACCTCTATTGTACCATCATCAACATTACATATAAAAACCCAGAAGACTCGTGGAGATTCACTGGTGGTTTTGGACAGTAATAAAATGTCTATATTTGTGTTGTAGTCATGGTGACCCCTGGTTCCTATCACCACCACTGTAAATACATCTAGGTTGGTAAGTAATCAAACCTCTCTGAATGACATTTCAATAGAATTCTGCTTTTTGCAGGACATACAATACCATCCAAATTTTATTTACAGTAATAATAACTTACAATGGGGATTCAAAGTATTCACCAAAAGGCATTTTTAGATGTTTAAAATACATACAATATATTCAATATTTAAGGAATTCTGTGAACAGTAAGTAATTATAGTGCTAAATAATATAATAACCTATTTACATTCATTTTTTTTTAAGATTTGATCTCCACTTTTGAGATATGATGAATACAGAATGTTAAAATTATTTTATCTCACTTTTCCGTGTTTTAAAGCATTCTTAGTCATTATAGAGTGTTTTACAACTTCATTCTGGACACATCTATAGGGTGAGCACAATAGACAAGTACACCAGGCACTGTTTACACATACGGCTTATCTAAGCTGCTTATCTTCTAACGCCCTGGATGTGTCGCGGTCGTCTGTCCATCACAGGGCACCCAGTCTTATACATTCACACCTTGGGGCAATTTAGCATCTTCGATTAGCCTGACTGCATGTGTTTGGACTGTGGGACGAAACCCACACAGACACAGGGAGAACATGCAAACTCCACACTGAAAGGACCCTGGTTGCCCGGCCGGGGAATCGAACCTAGACCCTTTCCACTGTGCCGCTGTGCCGCCCCCAGAGCGAGTAGCGTCCCCTGTTTTATGTGACACATACAAATCTAAACAGCTGGACCTGTTCATGCTTTTATGTGTAGCAAAAATGACAAAGCGTTTACATGCTCTTGGGTAATCAGATAATGGGGAAACTCCAGATCTACAGGAGTCAGACAGTAATTAATTTTCCACTTTGCAACCAGCCAATAAACTCACAGAATAAGACGTGATGTAAACAGAATGTCAAACTCAAACTTAATGCTATGGCTTATATGAACATACATCATCTAGACGGTGAGGAATATTTAAATCCTTCATTTCATGTTTGGTTTCAGCGTCGTTCTAAAAGTGTTTTGCTACATGCAAACTCCACACTGAAAGGACTCTGGTTGCCCGGCCGGGGAAGCGAACCCAGACCCTTATTGCACTACTCACTGTGCCACTGTGCCACCCACAGAGTGAGTAGTGCCCACAGTGACACATGCAAAGCTAAACAACTGGACCTGTTCATGCTTTTATGCAAAAAGCAAAGCGGCAAAGTGATGCTAAATATAGGGCTGAGAAACGCTGATATCACAGTGAGAGTCGAAGAATATGTCACTGCAAACTGGCAGCTGACAACACTTAAAAAGAGCGTTCCCCTATTAGCCTGAGTTCAACAAGCAGCTCCTCTGTCTCCATGATCCGCTTTCTTTATTTTTATAGCTTAATAGCATCCTAGCAATTATTTATATGCACTTATGCAATTATTATTATTATTATTATTATTAAGTGAATTTATTTGGGTGGCAAATGAAAACAGCAGTAAATAATGTTGTTCTGGGCTATTATTAAATAACAAAATAATGTTGAATTTATGTATTTAATTATGTTTAGCTCAACAGTATTTATAATATAATAATAATAATAATAATAATAATAATAATTATCATTATTGTTATTATTGTTATTAATAATAGTAAGTGAGTTTATGTTGGTGGCAAATGAAAACAGCAGTAAATGATGTTCTTCTGGTCTATTATTAAAATAAATTGTGTTGAATTTATTCATAGAATCATATTTAGATCAATGATTATTATTACTATTATTATTATTATTATTATTACTACTACTACAGCTAGAAACAGAAAATTATGCAAGACAGAAATGGAGCTTTTTCAAAGCTGACTTTGGTTTATGATCATTAACTCAAATGTCTCTACGATCATTGAGATCTAGACGGAAAAGGTCACTGTATCTGAATACAAATATGAAAGAAATATGAAGGTAATTAAGTGCCGTTAACTCTGGTACCTGAAAGTGAAAGATGCCGGCGTAGCCAGACCCAAAATCCTGGTTGCTGGGGACCACCCTGGCCAGCACGTCAGAGTTCATAGTGAGAGAAGCAATGGCTGCTAGGAGCCAGCAGTCCCCTAGAGAAGAGAGGGAGAGAGAGAGAGAGAGAGACATTCTCAACTCAGTCATAGAGATTGTGAATATATATTTTACTGATCAGACTCTTGAGCTGTAATATAAGAAACTCCAGCACCATCTCAGTATCCTGACATGATAGAACCCTATTTTAAATCCCGAGTTCAGGATCAGTTTTAGTTTCAGTTCAATAGGAATCTCGGCACAATCTCAGTGTCCCCAAAATAAAAAAAAATCAATAATTCAACTGATTCAACTAATTCAACCTCCAAAGCAGCCACACCGTTATATTTCCTAATCTCCCCATTCCACTTCCCAATTCCAACATACGCTATATGGAGAAAAGTATTGGGACACCTACACATTACACCCACAGGAGCTTTTATGGCATCCCATTCTAAATCCATAGGCATTAATATGGAGTTGGCCCCCCTTTGCAGCTCTAACAGCTTCCACTCTTCTGGGAAGCTTTCTACAAGATGTTGGAGAGAGTCTGTGGGAATTTTAGCCCATTCATCCAGAAGAGCATTCGTGAGGTCAGACACCGATGTTGGACGAGAGGGTCTGGCTAACAATCTCTGTTCTAGTTCATCCCAAAGGTGTTTGATGGGGTTGAGGTCAGGACTCTGTGAGGGTCAGTCAAGTTCTTCCACACCAAACTCACCCAGTCATGACTTTATGGAGCTGCTTTGTGCACTGAGGCTCAGTCATGCTGGAACAGAAAAGGTTCTTCCCCAAACTGTTCCCACAAAGTTAGAAGTATATAATTGTCCAGAATGTCTGAAGCATTAAGATTCCCTTCACTGGAACTGAGGGTTCTGGACCAACCCCTGAAAAACAGCCCCATATCATCATCCCTCCTCCACCAAACTCTACAGCTGGCACAGTGCAGTCAGGCAGGTAACGTTCTCCTGGCATTCGCCAAACCCAGACTCGTCCATCAGACTGCCAACATCTGAACGCAATCATTTTTTACTTTCATCATCTAGAAAAAGAAATAGTATATGAGGCAATACCTATCACATTTAAGTGCGCCATTACAAGCTACTGTAGCATTTGCTAACTCTAGACGAAATCCACAGGCCATAGATCCTCGGGGGCAGGTCTTGCGTACATAGGTCCTGGGAACTGGGGTCAAAAGGGGAGCCAAAAAGCAAAGAGGTCACTAATACGTGGACCGCGGTCTGAGTCCGGACCCAGACACTGTCCTATGCAGACCTGGACCTGTAACCGATAAACAATGGAGAATGATTTCATTTCAAAGTGTGGTCCTGTTTTAATTAGCGTAACTCTTCTAGCCTTTACGGTAGCTTTAGCGGCCGGAGACTCACAGACCAATCACATGCAATGTAAATATCACACTTGACACTACTCAGCCAATCAGATCTGTGCATTACGTTGAGCACTGAGACTCGAGAGAGTGACGCACACACAGGGGAGGGACGAGGCGAGAAACAGCAGTCAGAGAAGAAAGTGAGTCAGAGGGAAGTTATTTCACACGTCATGATCTAAAAAGAGAAAACTGACAATAAATGTTGTTGAAATGTTACTGAATTGTACTTTATTTGATTTGATATTCAGTTGTTGACTGTATAAGATGTTGATATACCTACTAGGCTACTTCAGTAAACAGTATATGGCACTGAGTCATGACGTAAGTTAGACATTATGATGTTCTGGACCTTTGCTTGAGGACATTTTCTCTAACTGGACCTTATTGAATTGTAATTTAATACCCCTGGACTAGAGCCTCTGTTTTACCTACTGACCCATTAAGCAGTTTGAGGAGAAACACAATGAAGGGTGTCTGGAGGTGATCTCTGACATTTGCTAAAGACAGAAGGCAGTGAGTAGTTCAGTGCTGAGGAAAATGAGTCACTGCTGCCTTTTCACACATTTATCTGACTCCTACACGTGCATACACAACATACTGTTCTTACTGAATGCTGTTATCAGTTACACTACAGAACTATGTTGATTCTCTTACTGATAACTCAGCATTTATCAGTGTGACTCACGAGTGGAATTCCAGAAGTGCGTGAAGATGTTTATTTTACCATTATTATATTATTTAAAGCAGCTTCTTGTGCTAAAACAGTCATTTGGCGCTTTCAAGAATGCCAGCCAAAAAATACATTCATTTTTTCTGTTGATTTTTCATTTACATTTTCAAAGTGACATCTAACCTGAAGGGTGTTCACGGCTCAGCCTGAAGAGGGCAGCAGTTCACTTATCGTGTCGTGAGAAGAACTGACAGTGCTGCTGGAGTTTTTAAACACTGTGTCCACTCACTGTCCACTCTATTAGACACTCCTACCTTGTCGGTCCACCTTGTAGATGTAAAGTCAGAGACGATAGCTCATCTGCTGCTGCACAGTTTGTGTTGGTCATCCTCTAGTCCTTCATCGGTGGTCACAGGACGCTGCCCACTGGACGCTGTTGGCTGGATATTTTTGGCTGGTGGACTATTCTCAGTCCAGCAGTGACACTGAGGTGTTTAAAAACTCCAGCAGCACTGCTGTGTCTGATCCACTCAGACCAGCACAACACACACTAACACACCACCACCACGTCAGTGTTACTGCAGTGCTGAGATGTCCCCCACAAACAGTACCTGCTCTGTGAGGGTCCATGGGGGTCCTGACCACTGAAGAACAGGGTAAAAGGGGGCTAACAAAGTATGCAGAGAAACAGATGGACTACAGTCTGTAACTGTAGAACTACAAAGTGCACCTATATAGTAAGTGGAGCTGATAAAATGGACAATGAGCGTAGAAACAAGGAGGTGGTCATAATGTTATGCCTGACCGGTGTATACCTATTTATATATATTTGCACTGTAGCTACATTAAACATTGCGACTTCTCCTCTGAATACAAAACTTTGTGATTGGTTAGAGGGCTTATTTGCATATTGCAGCCTTCTCTGATGTCAGCATTGCCATAGCGACACGAGTGAGGACGGTGTGTGTGCTTTGTGTCAGTGAAAGGTCTCCTCCCCTCCTGTCTATCACACAGATCAGGTTTCAACACTGCTTTATGGGGACGTTCACCCAAACAGCAGATGACAAAGAACGAAGGCGACCACATTTCTGCTTTGTTCAGGTATGCTTACGTTTGAAAGGCAGCTCAGCCACATTGTCTCGCTGGGCCCTGACCACACCAGCACCTGACATGCATTTGCATTGAATGGGGCTCGTTTTCTTGTTAAAGACACACCCAGTGGTTGCATCTATGCTGGGCCAAAGCCACCCACTGAAGTGTTGGAACATGAACTCAACAGTGAAGGAAAAACTAGATATTCTATGGTGTAGCACTGTATTATATTAATTTTATGTGTTCTCTCACTACAATACCCAGCTTTAATTACGCTAAATACATCATTCAACCAGTGGAAATTGCTGTGGTGTCGACCGGTCATGACTGCTAGCCTAGCCACTGATCTATAGACTAGTAAATACAGCCAAGCTGGCATTACAGTAATCCTTACTTTAGTTGTTGAGCTAAATTGCGAAAAAAAAACAAGTGATTCTACTTTTTTTTAGCACAAAATGGATGTCAGAGACATGTTTTTCACCATTTCAGCCAGAGGAAAGAAGCCAAACTGAGGTAAATAGCCAGCTACCTTTCTAACTAGCGTTTAGCTTGTGGTCATGAGCATTTCTACCATTTGAGTGATCCATTCTCTCCATTTTAACGATGAACTCAATACTACAGATATACAACTGCTGTAACATATTTGGCTTCCTATCAGTACCACTGGCCACCTAGTGTTTATCAGCTAAAGAAATAGCTTTCAAGCTACATCATCAGAAGGGAGTTTTTCTAGTTTTTGAACCAGAAAAACAGCTATTTCTTCACACTTTGCATGTATTTTGCAACACTTCATGCTCTTTATAGTGTTTCCTTGGAGTGAGGCTCAAATACAGATATGGACGGAGTCTTCGGTCTGTTCTCTGCATTCATTTCATCTGTATTTGTGCATGTTCTCTGACAGCTTAAGAATCTGGACGAAACAGAGCAGTATGGGGCATGGTAGCCAATAGTTCACGCGAGACATGATGCCAATTTCTCTTATTGGTAATATAAGTGAAAAGAATTCTTCATTAATATATCACAAAGTATTTAATGGCCTTACAGCCCACTGCAGTCTACACTGGTGCCTCTTTTGTCTCTTTTGGAGTTGGTACATCATTACGTCAGAGCCGGTTTATGAAGAGTCTGGCCACTTCCCATTTCCCCCGTTATATTAAAAACAGGACTGCTAAACAGCAGAGGGCTCCCGCGAGTGAGTCCTCAATGAATGGGAATAAATGGAGCTCAACGGCTAAAAATGAACAGTTAAAATAGTTCCTAATCACTGAACCAGAACTTTCCTTTAGTTTTAGAAAGTAGAGGGTTGGATTTCATTAAAAAAACAAGAAATCTTACCGATATATTTTCTTTTTTCTACAGTAAACGGGTTTTGGGCAGCAGAAGGTGGGCATTAGTGCTACTGAGTGCTGATTGGTTGGCGAGTGGAGCAGCTCATTGGCTGTTTGCGCTCACTGACGTCACGGACCTACATGAGGCGCTGTTTTAAACTCCTATAACTTGAGTTGCTGTTCTGCGTTCAGAAAGTGATTGTGTTCTTTTACATTAAAAATGTTTAAGTTTTTATAAACTATGATTTTGCTCAAATGTCTTCCGGTTTTCTCAAACACTAGAGGGCGCTCCCGAGTGAGTCCAAAATGAATGGGTTGATATGGAGCATTTGAGCAAAATCATAGTTTATAAATGCTTTAACATTTTTAATGTAAAAGAATACAATCATTTCCTGAACACAGAGCAGCATAAAACATTTCAACACCGCTATTATATTTTTAAGAGCTTTTAAACTCGAGTTATAGGAGTCACAAGTACATGTCGTCCATGACGTCAGTGAGCGCGAACAGCCAATGCTCCACTCGCCAATCATCACGCTCTAGCAGTAAGGCTCGCCTTCTGCTGCCCAAAACCCGTTTGCTGTAGAAAAAAGGAAACATATAGATAAGATTTACATGGAGGTATGCAGGCAGTGATGTTTCTATTTTTTGAAATACCAATGTAGTTTCCTATTGCCATGTCTCAACTTGTGTTTGTGCTCTAATATAGGCTAACTGATAAAGTTTAAATCTAAAAAATTCTAATATTAAGTCATCCTACCTATTTCTGGTTAACCTTGAATATATTACGTTATTGCAAATCAACAACAAAAGCATGGCCATCTGTATTAAAAACAGCTTAAAAAGATAAGTGTCCCCAAACTTTTGATGGTTAGGGTACTTCATTTTGCAAGTTTTCAAATCCCTCTGTTTTTTTAAAAGTCCAGTTGTGTTCAGGGAACGAACCAAATATCAAGCAAACCCCTACTCTCCACCAAGGCTGTCTGCCCAGCAGGACAATGCCTCGAAATGCAAAAGACACTGTACACTCAGTGGACGCACGCAGCCCTCCAGGTAACACTGCACTTCCCCTCATTTTGGGTGAAACTGTACACGAACAGTAGGAGCTAGAAACAAAGTTCAAGTGTTGGTTTGTGGCAGAGATGTATCTGTTGCTTGTCTAAAAATATGATTATTCCAGCTTAAATATTTTAAAATTCCTAGTTAACCCTTAATGTGCTACGCTACTGCAAACCAACAACAAAAGCATATTCATCTGTATTAAAAACAGCCTGAAAAGATAGGTGTCCCCAAACTTTTGATGCATCTGTTTTTTTATAGGCCAGTTGTGTTCAGAGAATGAACCAAACATCAAGCAAACCCCTACTCTCCACCAAGGCCGTCTGCCCAGCAGGACAATGCCTCGAAATGCAAAAGACACTGTACACTCAGTGGACGCACCCAGCCCTCCAGGCATTCTCTTCTCCTCTACAGAATTTGTTTGCACTGAACACAAAGAAAGAAAACCTCAAAACAGTCAGGCTTAACATTTCTGTACTCCAGCCATACTAACTGTGATGTAGCGCTACATGTTTGTTTATCCTCTGTGTGAGTGTGTATGTGTGCAAACCCACTGTGGCCTTGAAGAGGACGAGCTGTACAACTGAAAATGAACCGTTGCCTGTTTTGTACTGTTGGAGTTGACTTCTTTATAGGGAATGTTACAGTACTAATTTAATCTAATACTAATATGACACTAATTCATATTCATTTTTCAGATGGTGAGATTATACATGTTGTGTAGACTAGACAACATTTGTGATATCAGAGATTCTGGCATCCGTTGTTCTACCAAAAACAGCCCTTGATCCCATAGCAACCAGTGTTTTTGTTGGTTCCTTATGGTTTTGTAATGTGTATTGGGTTGATATCACTATGTAATGGTTAAACAGGTGACCGGTGGCTGATCATAAATGCATTTGATGGTTTCCTAATAGGATCTAAAGGCATTCTACAGGACCAGTGGTCTATTCTCGGGAATCATTAAGCCAATTCTTATTAGAAAGCAGTGCCTAATGGTCCTTTTCAGCAGGGATATTCCTGAAAGAGACCGCAAAAGCGCTGGAAACCATTTGTGCTTTGTGAATATTTAAATGTATTTGTTTTCAAAGAACATTTGCTTTCACTAGATGCTAAGATCTTGTTTGGGTAACTAGATGTCGACCCTTAAAAACAAAAGAAAAATGACTATTAGCATTTCTTTCTTATTTTTCTGTATTGCAAATGTATTGCAAGCACCAAAATAGATACTGTGTCATGAAATTTGTGTGATGTCCTGCTGTTTGAGTGGTGTCAGAACCTGGGAAACAACAAATTTCCCACTTGTAAATTGCATTTGAACAGCTGACAACATGCATTTCCAAGTGGGAAATCATTTTAGATGGTACACAAGTGTGGCACGCGCCCGTCCCCTGACCACAAGAGCTGACAGGAAGGTGGGGCCCAAACTCCAAGCGGGGACGAAGCCCTGCAAGGACAGCGTTGAGAGGAGAATCGCGAGTGAGAGTGGGATGGTGCTCGTGTCCTGAACACCACCACCCAGGACATGCCTTCCTGCCGGCTCTCACGGTCATCATCGGGGCCCGGGGGACAGGCGCATGCCACAACAACCACCAGATGTGATATATAGCACTGCCTCTTCTGCCAGTGAAAAACAGGGGACTTGGTGGTAAATGGGAAAAAATATACTCTGCACTATGTAATTTATGTATTTTTAACACAGAAAAAATATTAGTATTTACTAGTTAACTATCTGGTATATTCATCCTTGCAGAGAGAACCTAAACGCAGACATACACCTCAGTGAATAAGCAACTGGAACGGGTAGTTGAACTTGATTACAACCAGCTTCCCTCCATGCTAACGCACAGCACAAGTTGGTGCTTGTATACGGTAACCTGTCTACACAACTTTACTCGGATTGCATAATGTAGGCATCCTGTGAAGGATTATCCAGGGTGTTTCCTGCCTTCCACCCAGTAAGCGCTGGGATAGGCTCCAGCACCCCCCCGGAGTCCTGGAGGATAAGGGTCATACTACAGAAATGTCTATTTTTGTGTCCCTAGCGTTTACAGATATATTACACTTGAAAAACTTGTTAGGGTTACAATTTATTTATATTTTAAAGTAAAACAATACATTATTTTAACAATTATACGTCTTCTTAAGGCATCAATTTAGCAATATTGGTTTTTAAATCAATTATCTAGAATTCCAAGCACCACAGAAGAGCTCGTCCTCACAGTCATGTGTAAAGGCTGAGGCTATGTTTTGAGGCAATAAACATGTTTTTCTGCTATTTTAACTGCAATAATCTATACATGACTATGAAATATACAAATTAAATGACAAAGAAAAAAATGCCAAATAAATATTATAAAATATATAATTCAAAGTTGTCCCCAGGAGTCGTGTCACTGGTGTTACCACATAACAAAAAATCTCTTATTTTGAAATAAAAATCTCACTGATGACATCACTTTACTTCTTTTAACCTGTTTTCTGAGGATCTGTGAAGAAAAGTTCATGGTGAGTCCACTGTGTCTTTCAGTTATCAGAGATTTTCTCATTTAGCTCATGATTTCATATAAAGCTTTTAGCTGAAGTCACTGGTGTGACCCACTTTATTCTGAGGTAATTGTGAAAAAATAGAATACAAATGGATTAAATAACGTATTTTAGTGGATTTTCCATGATTGACAACATGTGGTTTGATGCTCTGTAGCAGTTATTTTGTAAAATGCATTTTCATTAAGAATGTCTCTGGTGTTACCTTTCTTATGTGTAACACTGATGGCGATCAGTAACACCAGTGACTCCTATGGAGAGATAAAAAAGTGGACGTTTCTGTAGAATGACCCATCAGTAACTTAGATGATGAGTGAGTGAGCGACTGTAGACATACTACAGGCATGTCAAACTGGGGACCTTTTGTGCCAAAGTGCTGCAGAGATCAGTGTTTACCCTCATCTAACCCTCTGAATTCAGTTCATGAAGGCCTCGCTAATGAGCTGATGAGCTGAATCAGGCATGTTTATTGAGGCAGTGAGCTGAAGTCTGCAGTGTTTTAGCCCGCGAGGACTGGAGCCTGACACATGTGACATATAACTTTGTACACACAGACTCCACACTGTGTTTTCCTGACGTTATCAAAATAATGTTCCACCCTGTGTGTAAAATGTTACTTGCAAACAGCAACAACAAGCTTATTTGTTGGAGTTTGAGGTGCGACCTGAAAGCACAATCAGACACACATCAAACCCTAATTGAGAGACTTATAATTACGCCCAAAAAACTACCAACAAGCTTCGCCAAACAGGCTGTTTAACTGCCTGAACCGGTTTCTGGTAGTGGCTTAAAGAGGGCAGTGTTTGAGAGATAGGTGTGTGTGTGGGTGGGAGTTGGGGGGGGGGAGTGTCACTTCCTGACTCAGAGACTTTGAAGCAAAGCAAAGCCACAGTTTACCACAAATGCAGTAAGAATATCATGGATGATTTAGACATAAATGTCCTGATATGGGTTCACTTACCCAGAGCTCCTTGGCAGATGTCGGTCCTGGTGGCCCCACCACTGATGAACTGGGGTTTTGAGCACAGCTCCTGCACAATACAGTAAGCAGATGAGCTATTATACTGCCTTAAGAGGTGTTAAAGTCAATCTGTGCCACATTTTTAGGTTATTTTAATTCAAACTTGGTCTATTTGATTCTACTCTGGAGGCCTCAGTTGTGCTGTAAATGAGGACTTGGGTGGGCTCTAAAACCTGTTATGAAATAGATGAAGTTCAAGTTCATTTTTGTCCATTTTCAAAGATAAAAGCCTGTAGTGTGTAAAAGCCAGCATTACTTCAGTGAAAAATCCTCAATTATGCTTCCTTACAGTACATCTGCGTGGAGACTGGGGAAACTGGTCTTACTGGTCTTATGGCACATTTTGTTCAGTAAAAAAGTGTACAAAAAAAAACCACCATATTTTTGGCCTAACATGTGTAAAGCTGAACATTACATGAGGAAAACAGCATTTATCTCCAAATACAAGATGTACTGCTATCTTAGAATCCTCATCCTCACAACACAGCATTCATGATACTCATTTAGCCGCTAACTCTATTCAGTCGCTATCAAAATTGTACGTTAGTCTGACAATGAAAAGGCTTTTTAGGTTTTTGAATGACAGAACTACCACACACACTTCAACCTATATGTAAAAAGACTGCAAAATCTGAGGTAACTACTATATTCATCTGTTAAAGTGTATAAAGTGGCCTCAGTCCAGTCTGACTTCAGCAGCACTCACTCCGGGTCTTTTCCATTGCAGTCCCCTCGTCTTGGACGAGTTTGGTCCGAGCTCCTTAAAGCCCAGGGACTCTGGGGCGGCGGGGAAAGTGGGGTCACAGAAGAGCTGGCCGCTGCTCAGACACTGGCTCCTCAGCGCCTCGTAGTCCTGGTTCAGATACTTGTTGGCGTTGGAGTTGGTCCCAAAGCCCGCGGCCCTGGCCCGCTTCTTTGCCAAAGTCAAGCCACTCCCGACATGTTGCTCCTCTGCTGTGGTAACTAAGACACAATGCCAGGGTTTCCACCTGCACAGGTGAGTTAAGTAACTAATTCTCTCCGCCCCTCTGAGGAACTCTCCCTCTTAGGCGGGGTTTATTCAGTCTGTAATGGGTCTCAGAGGCAGGGGGAAGAGGAAGAGACATGTTGGTGCTGTGATACCTCATTATTATGCGGCTAAACTGGGAAGTAAAACTGGCTGTGCTTTGTTTTCATCTCTCACGAATCTCACAGCTGGGTGTTGCAGTCAAATCTGGCTGGTTACTTTTATTTTATTTTTAACGGATATAAAACAGAATTACTACACATACTTTATCCTGTAGGTAACGAAGTTGCAAAATCTGAGGTAACCACTGCATTTATTTGATTCCGATAGCAAAAAAAGCTTTTGTGGCCACAAATTAATATATTGAGACCCCAAGTTACTATACTGAAGCCACAAATTAAATACCTGCAGGCCACCAATTAATATATTAAGGCCAAAGACTTATATATGAAGGCCACAAGTTACTATAATGAGGCCACAAGTTACTATATTGAAGCCACAAATTAAATACCTGCAGGCCACCAATTAATATATTAAGGCCAAAGACTTATATATGAAGGCCACAAGTTATTATATTGAAGCCACAAATTAAATACATGCAGGCTATAAATTAATATATTGAGGCCACAAACTTATATATTAAGGTCACAAGTTACTATATTGAGGCCACAAGTTATTGTAATGAAGCCACAAAGCAATATATTAAGGTGATAAATTAACATTTTGAGACAACAAATTAATATACTGAAGCTACAAGTTACTAAATTTAAGCCACAAATTAAATACATGCAGGCCACCGATTAATATATTGAGGCCACAAGTTACTATAATGAGGCCACAAGTTATTATATTGAAGCCACAAATTAAATACATGCAGGCTATCAATTAATACATGTATGCCTCCAACTAATATATTGAGGCCACAAGTTATTATATTGAAGCCTCAAATTAAATACATGCAGGCCACCAGTTAATATATTAAGGCCACAGGTTACTATATTGAAGCCACAAGTTACTGTAATGAAGCCACAAAGCAATATATTGAGGCCATAAATTAACAGATTAAGACCACCTATTAATATATTGAGGCCACAAACTAATATATTAAGGCCACAAGTTACTATATAGTTTTTAGATGTGAATGACCTCCTGGACCTTGCTTGAAACTCACGTTTACCAAGATTGTACACAAGATGCTACTGGCACCAGGCCTCAGATGGAATACTGTGCTCCCAACCTGTCAATCATCCCTGTTGACGGGGCAACAGCAGAAAAGCGGAAAAGGCTTTATCTGAAAACATGGTGGCCGAAGAGTTTATAGCCATTCCTTTGCTAGCAGATGAGGTTTAGGAGAGCAATATATCCACTTATAATGCTTGCTGTCTTTGTACGTGACCCCATGACACTCGTAACCAGCTTCAGTTTTGAATTTTCCGTTCCACCTTAAACAGTGCAGCAGTTCTGGTGCACTAGATATGACAAAGAACAAAAGTGTACAGAGTAGGGTTCCCAGGACTGAAATTGGGAACCCCTGCTTAAGACTAACCAGGGCCCAGTTTCCCAAAAAGCATATTAGTATTAAGATCTTCTTGACTGGTAGAGAGAGAGAGTTCAGTGTGATGCTCACTCTACCATTTAAGAATTATCTTTGTGCTAAGATGCTTTTAGGAAACCCAGACCAAGTTCTGTGGCACTTTCTTTATCGTACTAAAGTTAGGTGTAATCCACTCTAACTTGAGATTCAGTTTGAACTACAACCCCATTTCCCAAAAAGTTGGGATGCTGTGCAAAATGTAAATAAAAACTAAATGCATTGATGTGCAAATAAAAAAAATGTGCTATATTTCATTGAAAATAGACAACAGATCAAATGTTGAAACTGAGAAATGTTGTTGTTTTTTGAAAAATATTTGCCCATTTTGAATTTGATGCGTTTCAAAAAAGTTGGGATGGGGGCCTGTTTACCACTGTGTTTCATCACCTCCGCTTTTAACAACACTAAGTGTTTGCGAACTGAGGAGACACTGCTGTAGTTCTGAAAGTGAAATGTTTTCCCGTTCTTGCCTAACATAGGATTTCAGCTGCTCATCAGTTCAGAGTCTCCTTTGTTGTATTTTTCATTTCATAATGCGCCAAATGTTTTCAGTGGTGACAGGTCTGGACTGCAGGCAGGTCAATTTAGCACCCGGACTCTTTTATTAAGGAGCAATGCTGCTGTAATACATGCAGAATGTGGTTTTACATTGTCTTGCTGAAATAATCAAGGCCTTCCCTGAAAAAGACGTCGTCTGGATGGCAGCATATGTTGCCAAAACATGTATATATCATTCAGCAATGGTGCCTTCACAGATGTGCCAGTCACCAATGCCATGTGCACTAATGCCCCCCATACCATCATGAATACTGGCTTTTGAACTGTGCACTGATAACAAGCTGAGTGGTCTTTAGCCCCTTTATTCTTGAATTGTTGCACTATTTGATCCTGCAGTCTTTCACAGAGTGGTGAACGCCTCCCCATCTTTACTTCTGAAAGACTCTTTTATACCCAGTCATGTTCAAACACCGGGTTTTTTTTTATAGCATTGCACAACTTTACCAGCCTTTTGTTACCCCCGTCCAACTTTTTTGGAATGTGTTGTTGGCATCAAATTCAAAATGGGCAAATATTTTTCAAAAACCAATAAAATCTCTCAGTTTCAACATTGGATATGTTGTCTTTGTACTATTCTCAATAAAATATAGGGTTTAAATGATTTGCACATCATTGCATTCTGTTTTTTATTTGCATTTTGCCCAGCGTCCCAATTTTTTTGGAAGTGGGGTTGTATAACTGAACTATTCTTTTAAAGTGTTCAGTGCTTCAATAATGTTCAGTTCAGTAATGCTGTGCAGTGCTGAAAGCTTAGTTCTCACAGTTGGAGAGTACAGTGTGCAGTACTATGCGGATGTCTTGTTCAAAGCCACTGCGATAAGTGTGTATTTGCTTGTAAAAACACCATATGACATATGGATGCATGCAAACATAAACTAAAAATCATAGTCAGAGATGTTATCAGTTAGTTTAAAGAGAAAGGTTTGTACACTAGCTGATAAGACTCTTCACTCATCAGCGTTGCAGAGAACCCACATACGTCTTTACTCAGAAGTACACTTATCTGATTAAGAGCTGGTTTTCCAGGCCAAGGTTTTTAGTGGTGAGTCACCGCTGACATCATATTGTAGTCCAACAGATTCAGCAGGAAGGCTAACTTTGAGACTGTTAGGGGTTAAATATGATACTTCATGGTTCAGAGATGATACTTCTCTGCAAGCCATTTCTTTTACTGTAGTTCTTTGCATGGCCAATAGATGGCGGTAGTTGTATTTAAATAAAACCACTGGGGACCATTCTGCAAACACTCTAATAGGTAATATTCAAGGAGATCATTTGATTTGAATTAAATAAATAACTAAATAAATGAATAAATAAATAAATAGTCGAACTTCGGATTGAGGGGGAACAATGCCTATGCATAGGCATAGCTGAGGTCAGGAGGGCATTAGGTGCAGAAGTGGACTGATGAGCTAGGGTTAGAAGCACAGCCTCATCAATACAGACATTAAACTACAATGGCATTTTAGGGCCACTGTTGATAAAAATAAAAATAGTAGACTTCGAGAATAAAAGTCGTAATATTTGGAGGGTAAAGTGGGATAACTGTAGGGGGGCTAACTGTAGGGGGCTGCCATAACGTCTCGGGGTCTCGGTTGCTGTTCTGGCGCCGGAGCTCCACTCACTCCTGTCTCTCTGTGGATCATTTTGATCATCATTCTCACTGTCTGTGAAACTCCATGCCCTCTTTGAATGGGGGGAGATGTAGCCCCCGATAGCCGTGTAGACGACCCTGCCTGCGATTCTCCTTCAACAACACAGACAGACAGTTTCCTCCGAGTCCGTCTCAGTTTCCTGCTCAGCCGTTTCAGCCGGTTCTTATACTAATAACAGGCTGGTGCTGATGTGCAGGAGAGACAGGGAGACTGAGTGTTTCTTTATGGGTGAATCGATATGAAAGTAGAACTAAACCACCAACTCAACGCCCCTCATTTAACACGAGGAAAAAGTCTTTGGTCACAATATTGTGACCTTTCCTGGTATCAATGCCACTTTAATGTCTTATTCTACGACTTTTTTCTCGAAATATTACGACTTTTTTTTCTCTAAGTATTATGACTTTATTCACAAAATATCATGCTGTATGACTTTTTTCTTCAAATATTCTCAAAGTGTACTAATTTTGACAATACTTACTGTGGCCTCACTTACTAGTATTACTTAATAATTATGTGCCCTCAAAATAAAACCTTATCTTGCCATTTGCAGCTCTCCCGATTGCTCTATGGACTTCCTCAGATGGAATGTGAAAATTCATAAGCTTTTATGCAGTTCTGAGTAGTAAAAATACACTATATGGCCAAAAGCCAAATTGTTGGGGTGTTTCAGCCACACTCATTATTAACAGTGTATAAAATGTAGCACATAACCTTGCAGTCTCCATAAACAAACACTGGCAGTAGAATGAGTCGTACTGAAGAGCTCAGTGACTTTAAACATCACGCTATCATAGGACGCCACCTCTGCCACAAGTCAGTTTGTGGAATTTTTGTCCTGCTAGATCTGCCCTAGACAACTGTAAGTGCTATTATTGTGAAATGAATGCACCTCAGTCATTCTACAGAAACGTCCACTTTTCCATCTCTCCATAGGAGTCACTGGTGTTACCAATCCTCATTGGTGTTACACATAAGAAAAGTACCACCAGTGACATTTTTAATGAAAAATGCATTTTACAAAACGGCTGCTACAGAGCATCAAACCACATGTTGTCAATCATAGAATATCCACTAAAATATGTAATTTAATCCATTTGTATTCTATTTTTTCACAATGACCTCAGAATAAAGTTGGTCACACCAGTGACTTCAGCTATAAGCTTCATATGAAATCATGAGCTAAATGTGAAAATTTCTGATAACTGAAAGACACAGTGGACTCACCATGTGCTTTTCTTCATAGATCCTCAGAAAACAGGTAAAAGGAAGTCAAGTGATGTCATCAGTGTGACTTTTATTTCAAAATAAGAGATTTTTTGTTACGCAGTAACATCAGTGACACGACTCCTGGGGAACTATCATTATATATTTTATAATATTTATTTGGCATTTGTTTTCTTTATGTCATTTAACTCATATATTTCATAGTCATGTATAGATTATTGTAGTTAAAATTGCAGAAAAATGTGTTTTGTTTCTTCAAAATATGGCCTCAGCCTTTACACACGACTGTGAGGACGAGCTCTTCTGTGGAATTCTGGATGTAATATATCTGTAAGCACTAGGGACACAAAAATGGACATTTCTGTAGAATGACCCATCCATGAGCAACAGCAGCCTAGCCACAAAGTGGTAGACCACGCAAACTCACAGAACAGGGCAGCCAAGCATTGAAGCATAGTGTGAAAAAAATGTCTTTTTGTTTATTTTAAATGTTTTAAATTTAAAGTGCCTTTTTTACTTAAATGAAGGTATAGAAAACAAATAGTACTAAAATCTATGTCTAAAAACTAAAGAAAGAATATTCGTAGTGCAGAAAGAGATTCAATGGTCTCTAATCTGCTCACAGCATACAGAAATACAGTAAATCTTCTGTGTAATAAAAACTTTGACCACTAGGGATCACTGTTGTCTTATTTTAAAAAAATTATACAGCTGAGACTGGGGCACTGCAGCTGAATCCATAGGCCTTACCTTTCTGTGTAGTAATACATGTTTTCTATACAGGCCTTGATAGTTAATCCTAGTAAATGTTACCTTTAAAAGCAGTGTAACTAGTTATTAGTTAGCTAATGTTCACCAGTTACTAATATTCACTGATCGCGAACTCTTTATATTATTGGACCCAAATAGCCTGATAAAGTTGTCTTGTCAGAAGAGCCAAAGCGCCTCTATGGCTGTGAATGTATGACAGTATAATCAGTGGCATTACTCCATATAACTACCATGTCAAAGGTAGCACTGGACGGAAGCACTGATTTAACTGTAAACAGAGCTAAAATGCTGTATGTGTGGCCATCTTTGTACAACATGCCAGCAATTTCTGTAATATTTCTGTTTTATACAGAAAGAAGACCTTATATAGTATAATTTTGACAGACTCTGTTTATATTAAGCTAGCTACGCTGGCTAGAAGCCATTGCTAACAGTAGCTATTATCCCAAACTGGATCAGCCGGCTAACATAAAGCAGCTTTTCTGCATCACCAGGTAATTTTGTGTTCATCTTTAAAAAGCTAATGCTGGCAACAAAGCATCAACGAAATAATTCTTACATCAGCTTGGTACAAACAGCTAACGTTAGCTGGTACGCTATGTCAGAGACACCACGTGGCTCCTTCCAGATCACAAACAACTAGCTAGCTATGTCAGAAAATGGAAATCAGAATGTCACAGCATAACCGCGATGCTAAGATACAAGTTAGCTAGGAGTTGCGATTCTGACTGGGCAGTGAAAGGTGGATGTTTTCCGAACTGCTGCTTCAAAAGTCGCCATGAAACTAAAAGAATGAGGCTGTTTGGCAGATCGCTAACATAGCTAGCCAGCTAGCTTTGAAGTTTGCTACTCATATGAAGCTGGCGTTTCTTAAACTGCTAATAGTAGGCTAACTAATTAGCACCTGTAGCCTGCTAGCCCAACATAAGGTCTGTCAAATAGACAAATCTTGCTGTAAACGTGTCACAGAACCTGCTCCACATTAGCCAGCTGGAGCCGGCAGCTAATGAAACTAGCATCCTTGTTTGGGAATACAGCTACAGTTAGCGATGGCTTCTAGCGTAACTAGTTACATCTAAACAACATCTACCAAATACTACATATTAAAGTTCTTCTTTCTGGGTTGGAGCCCCATTCTCAGCACAGTAACACAGACATGGCTGCTGTATGGTAGTAGGTGTTGTGTTGGTATGACTGTATCAGGCACAGACATAGACCTACTGTAATACTGTGAATTTCATTCAATGAAATGAGCTCAGCCTTAGTCAAGCTACATAGAGGGGAGTGAATGACTGAGGAGCTTTCAGGGCTACAGGCCCATCTGAATGCCAGGAGGACCACCCTGAAAGTGGCTTAATAGGTACCCCACTCAGCTCTACCATGCACCCTGGATTAACGTTGGCCTCACCAGAGCTTAGTGGTACTCAGTTAACTATCGTTGTACTTACATTTTTGAGATAAAACATGTAATATTTTGATAGTTTAAAGTACTCTCTGTATTTTATAGGTAGCTTTGCTCGTCTAGCTTCGGTGGCCATTCTTATGTTCTTATGTCTGCATGTGTGGAGAATACATATTTAAAGCGGTGCAACCTGTTACGTTCTATGGCGAATGGATTTTTCAGGTTCTGTATAGTAAAAAACTTCTGTTTAAAGATCTTTGCTGATGTAATGTGTTGTAGTTTAGGCTACAGTTTATGAATGCAGACCACACTTTGGGTTGAAGGAAATAATGAGAGGAGGGGAACTTTGGGCTGGAGTTCTGCACGGCTTCTGCAGGGCGCTAGAAGGCCGACCCCCAAAAACTCCAGACTACATGGAGGCCAACTGTTCGTAAGCTTGACGGAGGTCTTGGATTCGAGTACGTATATAGCCTTGGAAAGCTTGAGAAGACCATATTCCGAACATCTCAGGAAACTGAAGAATACGAGAAGAAAAAAGGTGTCTAAGGTGGTGGATATCGGCTCGGTCAAGAGTCAGTCATGGAGTGTCTGAATGCAGTGCAGGATGTCAGAGGTTAAGGGCAGCTGACGAGGTGGAAGGCGAGGTTTGTTTCTATGGGTTCCTTTTAGTAAAAGTGAGATCTGAGGGTGGTTAGCTGGGGTGTGTTGGGATCCTTTGATGAGCTCTGTAAAGAAGTTGATCCCAAAAAGATGTTTTCAAAAAGTAAATAAAAACAACTTCCTTATTACTCAACCGATTTTCACCAAATCTGTTTTGTTATAATCCTCAAACACAGATTAATCTGGGCTGCTCTGCTCTCGGGAGCTTTTATATCTTTAATAACTGATCGTGATAATTTGCCGTCCAGACCAGCAGGAAAGTATTCAGTCTGCACCTGACGTTAAAAACCGGGTTTAGCATGAGTAAAAACACAAACTCACACACATCAGCAGATCCATCAATGTGGGAATCACAGTTGTAATATGATAGGAAGATATTCACAAAAATAAAGGGGTACATTAAAATATATTATACTTTTCAGTTTCTTTTAAATGTTTCTCGATTTTTTCCAACACTAGAAAACTCTAGGCTGTTTTTGCTGGAAATGAAATAAAAGAAAGGGTGGTCTCTGACTTTTGCACAGTACTGTACTGTAGACACTTCCAGAAGAAAGAAGACATTAGAAAACAGTTTGATTTATTCGTTTGTTATTGTAATTCCAGAAGATGGAAAAGTTGTATTTTTCACGAGCTGATAGCCAATAAACTGGAGCAAGACTTTTATTTATCTTTGCATTTATGGAGTAGTTAAGTATTTTGCGGCTGTAATGCAGGTGCAGATACCCCCATCACTGGCACTTGGGTTCTGGTGGTGGTCTACTTCTCAGTGAACACCCTCAGCAGGAAGCTGCACTCTTGGTTTGGCTCATAGGTGGAGGGGATGATGATGTACTCTCCAGGTGGCAGATCGAAGCGCTCGCTCACTTCCCGCCTATCATAGTGTCTGGATTTGAAGACTGGCTTCATGCGGGACAGTGTCTCAGAACTCAAGTGGACATCCTTGCGGCCTTTATACTGCAACATACACAAATACTCAAAACACATACAGGCAGTAGTATGTCTGCATTTGAGCAGCTACAGGGGGGTACTGACCACTGAAGAACAGGGTAAAAGGGGGCTAACAAAGTATGCAGAGAAACAGATGGACTACAGTCTGTAACTGTAGAACTACAAAGTGCACCTATATAGTAAGTGGAGCTGATAAAATGGACAATGAGCGTAGAAACAAGGAGGTGGTCATAATGTTATGCCTGATCAGTTTTTTGGAAATCGCCTTTGTGGAAATCGACTTTTTGGAAACCTAGCTGCCGTTGCAAATGATGACACACACTTAATGTAACTCCTCTTCATGGGGTGAGGCTTTACTGACAATATAAGGCTGAGGAATTAAGGGCCCGAACTAATCATGTGCTATTTGCAAAACCAGTAAGCAAAAAACCTGAATATTCCCTAGCAGTGGAACTAACTGACAGCACTTCAGGTGATGTTCTCAGTGGTGTGCGCTGTTGTGTCTGGCACTGAAATGTTAGGTCTTCAAAAATGAGACGTATTGAAAACACAGATCTTTTGATCTTTTTGAGTGAACTTAGGATGGTGTGTCTATGCTAATAAATGTGGGACTGCAACTGCAATTTGAAAGTCTCTGGACATTCACCACTGAACAAGCTTTCAGCCTATAATCACATGTATCACTGCAGGTTGCTTTCTTTGCTTACCTTTGATGGAACCTGAAACACAAAAACACACCAGAGAATATGTGTTATTTTTTTGTCTTTTTAAATGTGTTGATAGAGATTTTGCGCTTATATTGCTTGGAAGGATTAGTGTCAGATGTTACCGGATAGACAGCGAAGCAAATGTCGCAGAATTTGTGTCCAAGCTTTTTCTCTTTGCGCATGTCTTTCTGCATCAGACTCACGAGAATGGAGCAACTCTTGGCGCCGCCATGGGCCTTGTCCACATTTACCACAAACTGTGGGTTTGAGCCGAATGTAGCTGCAGAAAGCACAACAAGAAACATTCAGTATATCATCGTTGTTGGAACAAAACCTTGTATCTTTATGTTCATTATGAACACTAAAAAGTTAGGAAGGAAAATTGTATCACTGATGAACTTTGCTTATAAACTTGATATTATTATTACTGATATATTATTAGTATATTTTAAAATGTATGGGTCGTTAACATGATGTGCATTTTTTGCATTCAAGTTCATTATATTACAAAACATTAATGTAAAAAAGCATGAAATGATTCACTAATGCCACTTTTATGTGATACATAAAATTTATTTTAGTTTATTTTAGTTTCCGAAAGTCTAAAAATGTCAGGTGGTGCAACTGTCCAACCATATTAAGTACCAAAAAAGGTTATTTACTTATATATAAAATTCAGATTTAAATAGTTTGCCATGGCTTTTTGTTTAAAAACTTCAAAATAAAAAGCAAACAAATTTAAAAGTATTCAACTCTCTGAAAAACCTTTGTCAGCAAGTTCTTAGTTCCTGAAATATTAGGCTAATATTAGACTTTTATCTTGACATTCTTTTATGAAATAGGTGCCAGTATTGCATCATAAAGAAGATGAAGTGACCTTCATGGTGCAGTGGCAAGGTAGCCCTTTCACAAATTTTGGGAAAAATGTGATTTTTGAGTCACGATAAGAACGGTTCAGTTTATCAAGTCAGTAAATATAATAATTTAGTATAAAGATTCCATATAGATGTCCAAATAGATGCCTGTTTAATTTGAAATTAGTCTGAAAAGTCAGGTGGCATCAGGTGGCCAATAAGTCAATCGGTGTAAGCAGACCAGCACAGTTTTAATAACTAACATAATGCACATTATTATATTAGTTATTAAATGCTGTAAAAATGCACATCATGTCCTTTTTATAAGATTTTAAATTTGCCATTTAAAAACTTTATTTGTTATTGACCCATATACTGCCACTAGACGTATTACTGGTAATAATAATAATAATAATAATAATAATAATAACAACAACAACAATCAGTTTTGAATGGAAAAAAGTCATATGCAAATGATTTTGGGCACCCTTGTCCAAATTTCCTATTTTACTGAAAAGAAGTAAACACAACCAAACCTTTTTAAATAACATTTTCCTGCAAAAAATGCAAAGTTACTTATAATTAATTAGCTTAGCACCCAAGTGGTGAGAGCCATTGGAGCCATTTTGTCCACCTTGGGAGCCATAACATTTTATGTCCATTTTACCATCTTGGCTGTAAATATGTCTCAGTATGTGCTGATGTACTAAAAAGACTAAAAATATGAACCAAAAACGCAGACTTACTTTGCTCTGCTTTAAGCTTTAGCTCAGCTATAGCTGCTTTTCTCGCATCTCCAGCAGGAAACTTTTCCACAAAAGGTAAAACAGTTTCTTGTTAAATGTCTCTCAATGTTTAACTTTTTACGAGGCTGAAGTCGCTTCTCATTCACCAGCTTCTTGTTTAAATTTTCCCATTCCACCTTAAATGGTGCCTGAGGTGAATGTAACTGCAGCCACAGTAAAACAGGAGAATTCAAACGAGAAGCTTTGTGACTTTTTAATGTCAGTTTCTCGTTGCAGATTAAACGTATCAGGAAACCAGCTGCAGTGATTATAAATGCAAATAAGTCCATTCGTCTCTGAATTATCAAATTAATTATAATCTTAAATCTCTCTCTGTGCCCTTTCGTTAGCTACTAACCAGGCGAGATTATTGTCTGCGTTGCTATGGTGACCAGCAGTCTGCGCTGATCTTCAGGGTTAAAGGGTGAATTAGCAGTTCTACATTAACTCCAGTGTTTCAGACCATTTATTGTTAAATGAACGATCAGTAGAGCTTTATTTTACTGTAAAGGAGGATTATTTTATTTTTACCTACTTATCTACTTCTGCTGTGGAGCCGCAACAGGGCAGTAAAAGAGATGCATGTTGCTGACCCCTGACCTAAGCGTTGGTCCTATCATCAGGAGATTGTAAGATCGCAAGAATATTGCAAAACTACAAGCAATCTCAAAGGAAGATTTGATGAAAATTCCGGAAAAAAGAACAGAAAGGCTTCTAGCTAGCAACAAAAAGCTTTTCAAAGCTGTGATATCTGCCAAAGGGGTGTTACTAAGTACTGTCCAAACTTCTGTGCATGCTGCAATTACAATTTTATTTCTTTCTATTTTTTAAGTTCATCAAATATAAAGTAAGTGTGTATGAGCATTTGCAGAAAAATTTAAACAGTCTGCTGCGGAGGTTGAATTTACTTCTTTTCACTTAAAATATCAACAAAGTATGTAATTCGGCTGGGGGTGCCCATTTGCAACTTTTGAAACTGTGTTCTAGACTATAATTGCCCACCAACAAGGTGGGCCTACAATGTATGCATTTCTGGGGAATGTGAGGACAAATTTTGTCAGGTTTTTCAAACACATTTGGATCCAGTGTATTTTGCCTGTTGAAGGCACCTGCATTTTTATAGCAGCCGCCAGCAGTAGAGCCTTGCTTCCAGCTGCCTTCAAACGACTTAGCTTCCCACTGGCCAGCATGATCAATGCACAAAGCATCTGGAGTCAGGTTACAGATCTCCACCACTGAGTAGCGCTCTTTAAAGTCTGAATATGACATCCTGAAAGAAAGATTAACAGAAAAGCGAGGAGAATGAGAATTCACAGGGAGGAGCAGACCCACTTGATGTGCTGTTCCTATAGTAGGAGGAGGCAGTAACAGTGAAATAACTGACCAGAACTCTCCATCGTCTGCGGAGTAATTGAGTTTGGCCTTCTCCTCAGGCAGGACAAGGTTCCATTCCTTGGAGCTGATGGACAAGAAGGTAAGAGGATCTCACCCAGTTCATTACTCACAGTATCGGTATCGTGCTGTGAGATCTACAGATGACTGATAAACTCACTTATCGCTCCAAGCGCCGTTCCACTCTTTGTGTCCCCAGGGGTTCCTGAGGCGCACCAGCTGAACCAGGTTTCCACCCAGGCTAACCTACAGCAGAGAGAGCCATCAGCACCTAAAGACTCCGAAAAGACCTGCAGCTCACATGCTGGTCATAACAGTATCGAAGTGTCTCACTATTGAACTACAGGAAAAACATTATCAAAGCTACAGTCGGGTCCAAAGGCTGAGCCTATTAGCAACAACTGTGTTACTCGTGATGGAAAACAGTTGCCAGGACTGGCATGTGCGTACAGGTGAACTGGGCAAAATTACGCTGTCACCTGAAACTTGATTGCAGATTATATAATTATATAATTTTACTATGTACTTTCTGTAAATGGAAAGAATGTGTCAGTTGTAGCTCAACCCCCATCCTTTGCTAAAGCCCTGACGTGAACTGAATGGTTTGGTTTACCATGTCAGGTAGTGTGACCTCAGGAAAAAACACGAAAATGCATAATTATTATGATACTCATTATAATCACTCAAATAGATTTGAAAAAATGTAGTATAAACTCAGGCCTATTTAATTTGTCAACATAGATGCCTATTTAATTTGAAAGTGGTCTGAAAAGTCAGGTGGCACAACCAGTAAGTCAATCAGTGTCACCAGACCACACACTTGCTCTCTCTAAACCACTTATCCTTCTGGGTCGCAGGGGGTGCTGGAGCCTATCCCAGCAGTCACTGGGGGGAGGGCAGGAAACACCCTGGACAATTTAGCATGTCCATTTAGCCTGACTGCATGTTTTTGGACTGTGGGAGAAAACCGGAGTACCCGGACGAAACCCACGCAGATATGGGGAGAACATGCAAACTCCACACTGAAAGGACCCTGGTCACCCGGCTGGGGAATCAAACCCAGGCTCTTCTTGCTGTGAGGCGACAGCGCTACCCACCGCCGGGCAGTAGAAACTTTGATAGCACTGATTATGATAAAAACATAGACATAAACGCAAATGTACATGCAGATCTAAAATGCACATTGTGTTTGAGCAGATATACAGACTGTCTGACCTCCTCTGCTCCTGTAATGGAGTAGACATGCGTCTTCACCAGCTTCTCTGTGGTCACATGCTCCTCTTCATTTGAAAAGCCCTGCTCAGAAAGCATTAAACAGTAAAGCAATAAAAGTGTTTATTTTGGAGATTTTGGTAACACCTTACAGTAGAGCACTGTTCATTAGACTACATGACATCTACATAATCATTATGACTGACATAAACCCACATAAACATTTATAAAGGCCTATTTCGGTAGTGCCGTCTGCTATGAAGGCTGCTTTTCTCAGCTTTGATGTCAAGTTGACATAACATCGATCCCAGGTAACATCAGTTTTTTCCTGATATTGGGTGAAATGATGTGTTAGAACAAATGACTTTCTAGCTTAGAGCTCATCACAGTGACCGAATGATGATGTAACGTGTTGACAGAAAAAAAACAGACGCTCGCGGATAAAAAATAACGAGAGCAGTAGTTTCAATCACTCTAGGCCAAAGTGTATTCAAAAAATACCAAGCGAACAATCCAAAGAGGGCAGAGCAAAAACGTAATCCAAATAACAGAAAAAGGGGTCAAAAAACACAGGTCAGCAAAGACAGGCAAAAGTATCCAAAGGGTAAGACAAGAGGCAGAATCCAGACAAACAAAGCACAGGTCAAAAACAGAGTATCGGTCATATGAATACAAACGCTCAGTAGTTCTCAAGGAAACAATACTTCGCAATTTGCCTACCTAAAGCCCGGGCTTATAAACTAAACAGCTTGAGTCATATGACATCCTACACAGGTGTGACACATCAGTATTCAGGGGAACTAGATCTCTGATAGGAGCGTGTTTGAGAGTCAGTGATCACGTGAGTTTCCCTAGAACTCTGGGTAATGGAGTCCGTGTTGTCCTCCATCTCTGAAGGACGTTGTGCTGTGACGTGATCTCCCGAGGGATTCTGGGAAATGGAGTCCGTTTTCCTTTGACCTCTTGCCGAATGCGTGACAGTACCCCCCCCAAAGAGTCCGGGTGGGCCTTGGAACGAGGACGACCCGGACGGCCGCTACGCCCCCCACCGGACCTCCGAGCAGGGGTGGATCCAGAGCTGCCGAGGCGCTGGAGAGATGGGTTCCTTCCACGAGGATCCCGCAGACGGGCAGGAAGAGAGCTCGAGAGCTTCTTGGGTGTGCGGCCCCTGGGATGAGGAGCGGGCTTCCCCGGGTGCTGGTTGTGGAAATCCGCAATGAGACCGGGGTCTAATACGTCCTTTGCCGGCACCCAACATTGCTCCTCTGGGCCGTACCCCTCCCAATCCACCAGATAGTGGAGGACCCCGCCCCGTCGTCGGGAGTCCAGCAGCCTACGGACAGCGTAGACTGGAGCCCCGTCAATCTCTTCCGGTGGGAGTGGCGATACGTCCGGTGAAGCCTCATCCAAAGGCCCTGCAACAACAGGTTTAAGCAACGAAACATGGAATGAGCGTGAGATTCTAAAATGTGGGGGTAGGTCTAATCTGTAGGTTACATCATTAATACGTTTCAGAACTTTGAAAGGTCCTATATACTTAGGCTGAAGTTTCTTACAACGTCCCTCAGGGCAACGAAAGTCTCTTGTGGCCAACCATACTCTATCCCCAGGCTGGTATATGGGGGTCGGCCCTCGGTTTCGATCTGCTTGTTCCTTATGACGCAGCAGAACCGATTCTATGCGCTGGTGTGTCTCCTCCCAGACACGTTCACTCCGTGTCATCCAGGAGTCCACAGCTGGTACCTCAGTCTGAGATCCGGTCCAGGGAGCTAGTGGTGGTTGATAACCTAAGATACACTGGAACGGAGTCAAGCCCGTGGCAGAACTTGTTAAAGAGTTCTGTGCTATCTCGGCCCACACTAAAAACTTAGCCCAGTCAGATGGGTTTTCATGACAATAAAGTCTCAAAAATTTCCCCAGTTCCTGGTTCACCCTTTCACACTGTCCATTTGACTGTGGGTGATAACCTGATGACAGACTAATAGAAACTCCAATATGTTCAAAGAAAGCCGTCCATACCTTTGTTGTGAACTGGGGTCCCCTGTCTGATACTATATTCTCAGGGATACCAAACACTCGGAAGACATGCTGGAACAGGGCCTCGGCAGTCTGAAATGCACTAGGGATTGAGGAAAACGGAATAAATTTAACACCCCTAGAGAACCGGTCCACCACCGTCAGGATGGTGGTGAAACCTTGTGATTCCGGTAAATCAGTCACAAAATCTACGGCTATGTGGGACCAGGGGCGGTTGGGTACGGGCAAGGGCATTAGTTTCCCAGCCGGTAGCGCCTTTGGAGTTTTGCACTGAGAACAAGTCGAACATGAGGAGACAAAGGCATGTATATCCTTGAGCATGGTTTCCCACCAATAGCGTTGTGCAAGAAGCTTGTGCGTTCTGGTTTCTCCGGGGTGGCCTGAAGTGAGAGAGGAATGGGCCCATGTGATAAGTGGGTCGCGAAAGGACTCGGGTACGTAGAGCTTCCCTGAGGGGCATTGGCTGGGTACATTGATATTTGTCAGAGCTCTTTCTATCTCGTCATCAATCTCCCATCTGATCGAGGAGATGACTACTTCAGGGGGAAGGACACGTTCAGGGTTCTCATTTTCAGGGGTCGGATCTTCCTTAGTTGGAAGTCTGGATAACGCATCTGCCTTAGTGTTGCGAGAACCGGGGCGGTAGGATATACTAAATCGAAATCTTAAGAATAGGGACCATCGGGCTTGACGAGCATTAAGCCTTTTAGCTGTACGGAGATACTCTAAGTTCTTATGATCAGTGAGGACTGTAAAGGGGTGATTGGCTCCCTCCAGCCAATGTCGCCATTCCTCCAAGGCTAATTTTACAGCGAGGAGTTCTCGGTCCCCTATACCATAAGTTGCCTCCCTCTGAAAGAAATTATGGGAATAAAAGGCGATGGGGTGTAATTTTAGAGGGGAACCTGTACGCTGGGATAACACTGCCCCCACTCCCGTTTCCGACGCATCTACCTCCACAATAAAAGGCTGTGTGGGATCAGGGTGTTTTAGTATAGGTGCTGTGGTGAATGCCTCCTTGAGATCTGCAAAGGCCTTTTCTGCCTGTTCTGTCCATCTGAGCTTCTTGGGGGCTCCCTTTAGGAGGGAAGTGATAGGGGCAGCGATGCTACTAAAGTTTCTGATGAATCTACGGTAAAAATTGGCGAAACCCAAGAATCTCTGAACTTCCTTGACTGATGTGGGTGTGGGCCATGAAACTACCGCTTCCACCTTATGATCGTCCATGATAACCCCTTGCTGACTGATGACGTAACCTAGGAACGAAACTGTCTGTAGATGAAATTCGCACTTTTCTCCTTTCAGAAATAAATCGTTCTCTAGGAGCCGTTGCAGTACTGCACGGACATGCTGTACATGAGATTCTCGGGTAGGGGAATAGACTAGAATGTCATCCAGATATGCGACTACATACTGACCTAACATGTCTCTAAGGACATCATTAATGAATGCTTGGAAGACTGAGGGGGCGATAGAGAGCCCGAAAGGCATTACAAGGTACTCGTAGTGCCCTCTAGTGGTCAAAAAGGCTGTTTTCCACTCATCCCCTTCTTTAATTCGGATTAGATTATATGCACTACGGAGATCTAATTTGGTAAAAAACTTTGCTCCTTGTAGTTGTTCTAGCGCTACTGGTACCAAGGGGAGAGGATAAGGGTAGGCTTTAGAAATTTGATTGAGAGCCCTATAATCAATGCACGGGCGTAATCCGCCATCTTTTTTCTTAATAAAGAAAAAGCTAGACGCGATGGGTGAGGTCGAAGGTCTGATAAAACCTTGGTCAAGGGCCTCCTGTATATATACATCAAGAGCCTTTTGCTCTTCTTGGGTCAAGGGATAGACTCGGGCTTTAGGTAAAACAGGGTTTTCTACAAGTTCTATCGTGCAATCGTAGGGTCTATGGGGAGGCAGTTTGGTGGCATTCTGTTTATTGAAGACTTCCTTTAAGTCCAGGTACTCCGGAGGAATTTCAAATGTGGAGTCTGCATTAGGACTTTCTATGGACGTGGACAACACTGATATGGCAGGTTTGGAAAGGCACGAACGGTGACAGTACTCTGACCATTTGGTGATACTGTGGTCAACCCATGAAATGTTGGGGTTGTGTTTCTCTAACCAAGGTAGTCCTAAGATTAACTCAAATTCAGATTGTTCTAGGACTAAAAATGACAAAGTCTCTTTATGAAGGAAACTAGTCTGTAACGGGGATATGGTCCCCGTTCCAACTGGTCCTCCATCTAGTGCCGCCACCCTCAGCATACTCGTGAGATTTTCCACTGGAGCCTGAAGTTCCTCCACGAGCCTGGCGTGAATGAAGTTACCTTCTGCCCCAGAATTGATTAAGGCTGAAATGACACGAGAAAGGGGATGACAGTATATGATTACTGGTAACATGAAAGATTTCGTAACCAACCCCTTTGTGGGCACACTCACCACATTAGCACGCGGAGTGAACTCCACGTGCTGTCCAGGGGTCGGCGCCTTGCTTTTTTGTGGTCTGGCGCGGCACTCACGAACTTGATGTCCCGCTTTGCCACAATATAAACACAGCTGATTGGCTAACCGACGTAGCCTCTCCTCCTGTGAGAGCCGGGAGGAATCGCATTGCATGGGTTCGGTGGGTTCCACAGGCTCAGGGCTGGCTCGAGAAAGTGTCCTTCTAAAGCCTTTCACCATCTTAGTTTTACTTCTGTGAGTCAGCAGATGATCAAACTTGATAGCTAGATTTATCAGTTGATCTAGAGTCAAGTCATCGTCTTTGGTGGCTAGCTCATTAACGATCTCTGCATTTAGTCCTTGACGAAACATCACAAGGAGAGCCGCCTCATTCCAGCCACTGCTCGCTGCTAGAGTACGAAATTCAAGCGAGTAGTCCACCACTGAACGATTCCCCTGACGTAATCTAGACAATAACTCCCCGCTGACTTTACCCTCGTAGGGGTGATCAAACACAGTTTTGAATTCTCTAAGAAACTGGTTATAGGACAAACGCTGAATATGGGTCCAACTGGCTGTGGCCCATTCTAAAGCCTTATCTGCTAAACGAGATATAATGAAAGAGATTTTGGCTTGGTCAGAGCTTGCCGGTGAGTTCTCAAAAAAAACAGAACACTGGAGCAGAAACCCCCTGCACTTATCTGGGTCTCCTCCAAATTTATCTGGTTTACTAACCGGAAAAACCACGGTAGTAGAAGCCGCTGTTGTCGGGGGTAGATCAGGGCTGACTGCAGGTTCCGTGAAGCTCATGGTTTGGAGCTGGCTCGTCAATCCCTGCACACTAGCAACCAGTTGAGCCAGCTGTGTTTGTTGCTCGGCCTGTTGGTGTGCTAACGACTCTAAGGAGTGAGTCACTCCGGTCAGAACCTGCTGATGGCGACCCAGGAGTTGTCCCTGCTCGTTCAGAGCCTTTTGTAAGGCTTCCGGATCCGCCGTCTGCATGAGTGTCGAAGTATTCTGTAACGTGTTGACAGAAAAAAAACAGACGCTCGCGGATAAAAAATAACGAGAGCAGTAGTTTCAATCACTCTAGGCCAAAGTGTATTCAAAAAATACCAAGCGAACAATCCAAAGAGGGCAGAGCAAAAACGTAATCCAAATAACAGAAAAAGGGGTCAAAAAACACAGGTCAGCAAAGACAGGCAAAAGTATCCAAAGGGTAAGACAAGAGGCAGAATCCAGACAAACAAAGCACAGGTCAAAAACAGAGTATCGGTCATATGAATACAAACGCTCAGTAGTTCTCAAGGAAACAATACTTCGCAATTTGCCTACCTAAAGCCCGGGCTTATAAACTAAACAGCTTGAGTCATATGACATCCTACACAGGTGTGACACATCAGTATTCAGGGGAACTAGATCTCTGATAGGAGCGTGTTTTGAGAGTCAGTGATCACGTGAGTTTCCCTAGAACTCTGGGTAATGGAGTCCGTGTTG